ACTCTGCTCACTCTCTGCTGTTTTATAGAGAGGTACTTCTTTTTTTCTAAGTGCTTTCTAAGCATCCCTTAATGGGAGATCCAAGATTGTAAAGACTTACAAAACATTTCTTGGATTTCAGCCAAGTTGTGACTATTATCCTAAGATACGATCCCTTACAGAATCCAGTTTTTTCTGACAGGAAGTTGTTGCTGGAACACTGTATCTCCTGTTAGCTAATTGATGTTAAATTTCGCTGCCTTTGAAACATGACTTGCCTTTCTATAGCAAACTCAGTCCAAGCCCTGTGGTTCCATTTGTTGCATTTCAGCTCATCGCTAGTGCAGCCAGAGTTCACTGCAGTAGCTTTGAAAGGCTGTAACTTTGAGGGGACTCTTTGATGGGCCTGTCTTTTGGGCGGCAATGACGTCGTTCCTCGGTAGGAGTGACTGCCTTGCTTTCTTGAGTCCGGGCTTGCTGCTCTGGGCGTTGTACTACTGGTCATGTCTTTAAGCACCACCTTGTGGTTGAACCAATTTTAGACATGTAAAGGTGTCCTCCAAAACTGCACAGTGCCACATAGTGAGACTGAAAGGTACTTCAGGAAAGCATCTAGTCCATCCCTGAACCACATGCACAATTCACTACAGCTGTGTCACTCCTGACAGATAGATACCTTATGTATCCTCCCAAGCCTCTGAAGGTGGAGGAACCACACCTCCCTGGCAATCTGTACCAGTATTCACTGTCCACACTGTTAGAAAAGCTTCACCGATGCCTAACCTGAATCTTACAGCATTTTAAACTCTTTATTTCCTGATCTCTGCATGATGGACTAGGTCACTTCTTTCTTCTTTTCAAAGGCCTTTTAAATCTGAAGACTTTTTTATCACACTTCTGCTAAGACTTGCCTTTTCCTTAGCTGAACAACTTTGATTATTTATGTTGTGCTTTCTGATTATTCTTGTTGCTCTCCTTTAAATTCTGTCCAGATGGTTTAGATGCTTTTGAAGTGAGCAAATGAGACACAGTGCTTTAGCTTAGGTCTTACCAAGGCTGACTAAAGCAGAAATGCATTATGTGTCTAATCTGTCACTGTATCCCAGTACAGTATTTGTTGCTTTCACACAAGTATGACATTGCTTACTCAGTTCTGTTTAATATCTATTATAAACCTTATTTCTTTTTCTGTGGAACTGCAGTAAGACACTTGTTCCCTACTCTGTGTTTATATAGCTGATTCTGCCTGCTTCAGAAAAGTAGTCAGCACTGTCTGTGTTGCATAACAGCATCATATATTTTTCAGGCCAATGTCAAAACTATATCAAATTGTAAACTTATTCTCCAATGTGTGTGCAGTCCCTCCCATCCTGAAGTCTCCTGCAGAATCAGTGTACATTCTACTTCATCCCATGTTCATATTTAATATTATCAGACGTGACATATTCTTGAGAACGCTGCTCAGAACTGACCTCTGGTATGACTGCCAGTTTAACTTTCCTTCACTGGTAATTGCTTTCAAAATATACTTTTCCAACTGGCTTTGCACCTATTTTGTAAGAATTTAATCTGCCCTTTGCAGAAGAGAATATCTTATGAGACAGTGCCAAAGTCTTACGAAAGAGTTGAAAATCTACTGTTTCTTCCCCAATCTATCAGTGTCACTACCTGGTTATGGAAACAAATTAGATCAGTGTGGAATGATTTGTTCTTGATTAATATGTCACATGTGACTCATCTTCCTGTTCTTTTCCAGGTGCTTACAAATGGACTTTTTCTAGGAAGACAAGTTAAACTGACATGTCTATAATTTTTCAGCTCCTCCTTTTCCCATATTACTGTCTTCTGCTGCCTTCCTTAGTCCCCAAGAGTTGTCAGAGGTGGCTGCTGACAGTGCAGAAGTGGCAGCTAATGGTTCCGAGATGGCTGCAGCCCTCTTTAAGTTTCTTCAAGCTCTTCAAGTTTCCTGCATGAAATTCTACAAACCCAGCCAATCTGAAAATAGCTAATCTATGTAATATTTTCTCATCCATTCTTTTGTTTTTTTCAGGCTGAGATTTTACTTCTGTCACTCTACTACTTAGAATATTAGCCATCTCTCTGCCACTGATCTTTCTAATGAACACTGATGCAAAAAATAAATCATCTGCTTCTGGCCTTCTTGAATTACCTGTCAATAGATTTCCCTCTGTTGAATAGTATATCAACACTTTTTATTTTATTTGTTTTACTACTAATGTACTTGTGGAATGTTTTTTGTACCTCTTGACTTGTCTTGGTAGAATCTGTCTCATTTTATACCTTTGCTTTTCTAATTCTGTCCTTTGCTATTCAGTATATTTTTTATACTTGCCTTCTGTAAACCCCCTACTTTCTCCTTTCTGTGCATTTCCTTCTTGTATGTCAGGGAATAGCTCTTTCTTTAGCTAAGTTGAGTCTTTACTACACCTTCTAGCTCTGTGCTAGTATATATTGTATGTGTGGTTAGTATTGTTTCTTTAAGTAACTACCAGCTCTCTTTAAATCCTTTTACCTTACACTTGCTCCGCCATGACCTGCTTCATGAATTTAGCTATCAGTATTCTGTTTTTATGGAAATTTTTCTTCCTAGTCCATTGTTTCTACTTTGATGTTCTTACTTCCTTCTGTAAAGTTCTGACACTGGATCATTTCATGATCACCTTCACTCAAGTTACCTTCTGTCATCACAGCTGATCTTTCTGTATTGGTCAGGATCAAATGTAGGTGAATAAGCCTTCCTGCTGCTTTCTGCAGATTCTTGTGCTGTGCCTTAGCTTTCACCTTGGGTTTTTTCTGTACTTTTGGGTTGAATCAGATTTCTTCCAAATGGTCTCTTTTATTCTGTTTTCATTAGGATGGGAGATTAACTGACAAATCTTCATCCATATTAAACTTTTTCACCTGTTAGTTTTATGCATTTTTGTTGGAGCTTAATGGAAACACTAAAGAACAAAAATGTGCATTCATTTTCACTAGTCTATTGCTGTAAAAGTCTCTTAGATTTTTTGACTTACACATTTTATCTCTCCTTTGAAGTATATTCCTAAGTAGAATTAAAATCTGAAAGCTAGGGTGAGTATATTGTGCTTTATTGATTTTAAAAGAATGATCTTTTAAGAATGTAGAATTTAAAAATAATTTTCATAATGACTTCAGTGCCTATTTAGCCACCCATTTAAGTATATATTTACCTTCAGTCTTATTGAACTTGATGAGGACTTGAAATCCTTTTACAAGAAAATGGAAGCAAAAATTATTAATACTCAGAGTGATATCTCTGACTTCAATGTTTATTTATATACCTGTTTGAAAGTGTTATTCAATGGTTTTGTTTGCATTAGAGGCATCTTTCAAAAGATTCTTGCTATTCTTAGCATGCTTTAACTGCAAATGTAGACTGTCTAAAGCATGCTCCACACAGTGCCAGAAACCAAGAAATACTGAGGGATGTTCTACCGCCCTTCTGGTGGGACAGAAATGTTTATAACTTAAATGAGTCTTTGAAAAATTATTGACTTATTAATGAGAAAAATCAGGAATCCCAATGTAATTGTATTGATTTGCCTTTTCAGAGACTTCTTGTAAGGTATGAGTAGAAATGAAAACCCGTTTGCATTGTCTTCCATATACAGGCCTCTCCATTAATATTATCTTACCTTTATTGATTTCTGTCATGTGCTTCCCTCATTTTCCCCTTCCTGGCTGACCTATAGTCTCCTCGTGCATTCATAGCTCCTAGCACAATTTGATTACTACAAGGACTTTGTCACATCATTAAAATCCTGTGGGAGCTAATGAACAGAAGCCCAGTTTAAGAAAACGAATACCCAGGAACCCAGCAGTACATGGCATGTGTTTCACTGTACTTCTGACCTGGCTGTCCTGCCTTTGGTGTATGGGTGTAAGGGAGCCGTGGCTGCCATGTGCCGAGGTGCAAGGTCTTGCCCTTGTGGGAGACCTCTGTGTTCACTATGATCTGCCCTGTTGGCAAGCCCAGAACACCAGCCAAATTCAGCCCTCATGTCATGTCTCCTGACGTTTCACACTAGAAGTAAATTTGGTCCATGCTGTTAACTACCAGTCCCAACAAAGCAAAATGCCTTCCCATCGTTCTGAGGTGGCTGCCGAAGTTCGGTTTTGTTCTCCTTTGTCTCCATTTCTACTGTCCTTTAACCCTCTGCTTTCCTTTTTCCTTTGTGTTGTGCCATGTGCTTCCTGTCTCCTCTCTCCCTTCACGTGATTGTTACATGCCTGTTTTGCTATTTCTCTCATCTCCTTCTCTGCTTCTTTCTTGTAGAGCCCTGATAGTCTTCCCTTTCACCCTTCCCTTTGCAGAACCAAGTCACCTGCTTTACTCTTTTCTTTTTCCTTCACCAGCACCTTTGTGAAAGTCCTTACCCAGGTCTCTGCAAGTGGCCTGCATGCTTTTGCATTTCAGAGAGTGGCTATAAAAGGGTTGCCAGCTAAGCCCGATGATAGTTCAGAAAAGACAGATAGTGGGAGCAGAGTTTTTTTCTTCATTCCTGTTTCTTGTGCTATGCTGTAAGGGAGAAGAGAGCTGAATAGAAAAAGGTGCTGAAGGACGAGAGAGTTTCCGTGGTGGGGGACTGAATGGTGGAGGCAGCCGTGTGCAGAAGAGTGGTGTTGTGCCCACTGCAGGTTGAGAGCAGCAAGCGGAAGAGCTAGCTATGCCCATGTAGCCTCATCTGGTGTGATGTTTGGCCATTGCACACTTCATTAGTACTTTAGAAAGTATAACATGCATTTGTTATTCATCTTCAAGTGTCATGTCACTGTTTTAATTTGCTGAGCATTAAAAGCCAAGTTTGTCTTTAGGATGTCTTCAGAGAGCTTTTTCAACTCACATCCCCTGGGCAGAGGTTGGACTTACACATCATTCTTTGTTTTTACAGCTTCTTTGTTCAGTTTTTTATTTTAGCCTTTATTTTACTTTACTGCTTAACCTTTACAAATGTATTTAATTTCATTTTATTTTTCAGACACCTCTTATTGAACCTCACATCCCACATCGTCCTACTAAAACCAATACACAGGTAATAGGACATAGGTGTGCTGTAGAGCCAGGCCACTAGACAAATGGAAATAACTCCTATTTCCAACAGTGCGATGCATATCAGCTGAAGTGATGCTTTCTGTTAGATGTGATAAGTATGTGAGACTTAAAATCCTGAAAATATATTACATTGCTTTGCAAAAGTAAGCATCTGTGCAAGGACTTTTAATTTAGGGAAAAGAAAACTTGTGGTTTGTTTTGTAGAAGGCAGTACAGAGATTGCAGAAAGTTTAAAATCTGTGTGTCTTGGTCCTTTTTTTTCTCCATGATCACGAAGGTTCCTTCAGAAAAGATCCTCAGAGCTGGAAAGATTTTGCGGAATACAATTCTGTCCCGAGCCCCTCACATGATAAGAGATCGTAAATATCATCTGAAGACTTACAGGTGTGTAAGCTGATTGTATAGAGGTCTGAATTTTTATGCCTGCCATCCTCTGATTTGTGATTTATGCCTTACCATAGTTGCAGGCCTCAAAAGGTCTGAAATTATTCTGTGATGCTGTTTGAGTCTGGGTCTTATGCAGTCTTTAATGGGCCTGGTAAATCTTGTCTGAAGTAATTTGACTGGAAATTGAGTCCATGATTGTGGACAGAGCATTCACATAGAAAAACTCTTCCAAAGTTAATAGCATAGTTAGCTGGAATATTCTGTGCAATATCAAGTTAAAATGTAGATTCTGTTCTCTTCATATATCAGTAAGAGATAACAGGAAAGTTCATTAATATGTTATGTTACTGTACTGATTGCTACAGCAGTGTTGCTCAGTGTGGAGTTTCAAAAATTCACCTGGTGAGAAACATTCCTTATGCAGATTTTCTGCTCTATTTAATTTTTTTTTTCCAGTGTATTGCCAGGCTTTCTTATCTTCCTGCTGGTGGCAGCACTGTCTTGCTGAAGTGGGATAACAATGGCACTTGTAGAATAGGAATCTGACTTCAAGGCGTCAGGATCTATCTACTGTTGCCTTGAGAAACAATCAATTTTTTTTAGTGTCCAATGTTTAAATCAAATAACTAATGCATTATCCAGAGTATATTTAAATAAAAATTGGTTTAAAATCTCTGAGTATGTCTTTTTCTAAATAGCAAATCAATATGCTGCTGATCCACTTTTGAGATAAGTGCATTGATTTTCCGTATTTCAGTTAAAAATGTATTTAATAATGCAAGGTATTTGGAGCTTGTGAGTTGATCTAAGAGTATATCACGATATGACATTGCTTATTGTTCTAGAAGAACAAAAGAGCATCTATGAAAAATGAAGACCACTGCTGGTCCTAGCAGCTGCACCATTTTATCTTATACATAACTGGGAAAAACTCTTACTGTTCTATCTTTGGGTTTTTAAAATATAGAATGCCAGATTTTAGATTGGAACCAGGTGAGGGAAAGTTTTGTCATCAAAATTGGATTTTAATTGGAAGAGCATTATTTAAGCTAAATTTCAGCAATTTCGGTATTATCTATTTCCTTGGTCTCTGAAAGTGATGCATGAAGTGTGGAGCCACAAGAGCCTGTCTAGAAGGACTAGCCAACTTCCTCTCTGTTCTGTGTGTGATCAGTTATAGATTTGTAAGTTTTTGATCTCATTGCTTAATTGCTTCTGTTCTGCTGCGCTAGGGGGTGTTACGACAAAGAATTTTACTTAGTGACCATGTGGCTTTTTGGCTTTTTTCCCCCTCTTTGGGCGTTGTCCAGAACTTGAGACCTGCTGTTGTCTGCCTCTGGGTCAGTCAGGAGCTGCAAGGTGACCACCACCGCGCATGAGAAAGCCTCAGAAACTCTGTAGACCTACAAACCAATGTCCCCAAATACAGTGTGGCTGGAGTTTGGTTACAAATGGAGGAACACCCTCATAACACTCACTCTTCCTGTGGAGGCTGTTCTCATTGGCAAAGCTTTTACAGTGTCAGATGATTGTTTTCATGCAGGATTCTGAAAAGCATGAGGCTTTTGCCATCCCACATACAGAGAAGCTTTCCTTTGAAATCTGGGTTGGAGGTTGTTGCACTGGTGCAACAGGTTTTGTACCAGGTGGCACAGGCTCACTCTGATCCTCTGAACTTTGCATTTCCCAAAACACTTGTTCTGCTGAGGTGATCCTCTCAAAACTGAACACCTTCACTGATATTTCAAGCATATATGCGTAGATCGTGACATTGTGTTTTCTGTAGGGAGAATTGGCTAAGATTATACAGAGTTTAAGATACCACTGTTCTTGGCAGACACTGTGTGTGATCTCTCTCTCGGCTAGCTCCCTTTTCATTTCTATTTATTTGTCCTTCAGGCAATGCTGTGTGGGGACAGAACTAGTTGACTGGATGATGCAGCAAAGTCCTTGTGTCCATTCACGAACCCAGGCTGTTGGCATGTGGCAAGTATTGCTGGAAGAAGGTGTTCTTAACCATGGTAAGATAAAGAAAATCAGCATCTTGACTAAAACATGGGTGATGTGTGACATCAGTGCCTCTATAGACCTCTTTAATGAAAAATAAAGGGAACGTGAGCCCAAAAGAAATGCTGCAGAGCAGCCTATTCATTCTTAAGTGCAAGGGCAACACACAGGCAGTATTACATGAATCTTGCTACCAATATACCTTTTAAACTTATGAGAATATTGAAAAGTAAATGAACAGTTTATAATGATAACTCTAATTATAATATATAATTATACTGGCTTGTGCTTATATTGCAAGAGCTGGATAGCACTCAGGCCAAAACCAAGAGATGTATTACCATACAGGAAACTGATCTTCATAAAAAATTTGCAGCATTTGGAAGTGAATGCGAGCATTTGTGTTTGCTCAGATCCATCATTTTGGAATGATTTTCAGTGGTTTTGGAATGGTTCCCAAATTCAGCACTCCAAATATTCCAGTGCAGAGATCTGGGATTTTATGTTAGTTTTCTGACTGTATTTTACATTGACTTTCAGTTTCCATTTGGCAGGATTTACTTGGTAACAGGATATTATAGTCCTCAAAAGGGTAGCTTTCTAAAGCAATATTCATATTTGAAGCTTTGCATGTACAGTTTTATTAAATTCAGAAGAGCAGCTCTATTACAGTACACTTCCATTTATCCTCTGTTGTGCTTCCCATATCCAAGGGAGAAATTTCCACATTGAGAAGACCGATTGTTTCCACTGCTTCCTTACCCTAAGGGTTCTAGCTTTAATTCCTGCCCAATATTCCCTTGAACTCCCAGGGGCAAGCTGTTGCAAGCTGCATCACAGTATCCAATTCAACACATCACTCTGACTTGCTTGGAAGACCAAGGGTTTGTCCTTTGCCATATCATAGCTTCTCTTCAGAAGTCTTCTCTTTGTAGTCTTTACATTAAGTTCTTCCACCAGGACACAGGTCAATGAACTTGCCCCTGGGATTGTATGTTGATGATGTACATTTCTGGTACATCAGAAAGAGTTTAGATGCTTTTGTTACCTCTTAGCCCTGTCTGAAACATGTAGGGCAGGGTGTTCATGCTAGAGAGCACCTCTTAGAAATTCATGATGTAACTGTTTCCCCTGTGTGAATTGTTTGCTTAAATGAAATGGTTTGAAACAATAAGAACAAAACCATATCTAATAAGAAAAAAACGACACACGTGCATACACACGCATGTATGTATACATACACCCACAACACACATATATAGAAGCCTTTTAGAAAGTATTTGTAGTAAAAATTTTAAAGTGTACCCTTCAAGCTACATAATTTGGACATATGTGAGAAATAAATGTTTCATACTCTTGCAGTTTCTCTGTAGCTTTCTCTCCCTTCTTAACTAATATATCTGTGACATATATGATGCTACACAGATTCTACAAGGTTAACTTTCATGAGGAGAGCTTAGTGTTTGACATGTTGTTTTCAGTGGATCAGGAACACCACTTTCAAGACAAATACTTGTTTTATCGATTTTTGGATGATGAGTGTGAAGATGCCCCTTTACCAACTGAGGAAGAGAAAAAGGAGTGTGATGAGGAGCTACAGGACACTATGCTTCTTCTGTCTCAGATTGGGCCAGATGCTCATATGAGGATGATTCTCAGAAAACCGTAAGCAAATTAATGAGTTAATATTATACATGGGTCTTCCTTGTGACATGGAAATAAGAGAAATCTACATTTATTATCAGGCATCCTTTGGCTGGTTATTTCACTTCAGTGCCAGTTTGTTCAACCTCTGAAGTTCTTAAGTCCATATTAAGTAATTTCCAGTCCTTATTAATGCCTGTAGGTTAAACTGTGTGTTGAGAATAACCATCAAAGGCCACGAATGCCATCATACTCACCTTAGGGAAAATGCTGCATTATGAGTTTTTATTTCATTGCTGAGTGTCCCCAAAAGTAAATTGTAGGTAATAGAAGAGTCCTTCTCTGTTAACACTTTCTGTATAGACATGCCATTCAATTAACCGTGCTGCTTTCAGTTATTGTGAGTGAGTAGAGTGGTAGGACGGCAGCACAGCAGGTATTCAATTACAGCTGTCAGTGGCAGCCATTAATTAGATTCATCCTTGGTAGAACTTTATTGAATTAAGATAGGCTGGACTTGGCCTGTTGTAGTTTGCTAGCAAGGTGTGAAATGTGGCTCTGTGGGTTTATTTATCCATCCTTATTGTTATAAAATCAATATATTTTTTTAAAAAAATGCTTTCTGTGCCTAGGCCACAGAGGATGTCTGCCTAACCTTTTCATAGCTATCAGATCATGTCCTCTCACTCATTGGTTGGCTAACCATCCTTTCAGCAATACATTCTGGCCACACTGAAAACTGTGCTAAAGGCCTTTTTTACAGGCAGCTTTATAGTGACTTCAAAGCAATCAGTATAAACTCTGTTTGACCCTCCATTGAAGGTAACCTCTTCATTATGCAGGTAGTATTTAGGGGCCACTGAAGACATATTTTACTGCTAATTAAGAGCACTGAGAATAATGAATTACTTAAGGTCATCTGCACTGCAAATTTACTTGTAAGGGTCAGTTCAAGAAAGATATGTACACAAAGCTGGATCCTGCTCCTTTGAGGCCGTTGGCAAAGTTTGTCTTTGCTATGGGATAGGAATGGGCCCTGCCTACAGTGTGAAAACATTTGTTATAGTAAAAATGTTTTGAATCCACTTAACACAAGTGCTTGCTCCTGTTCTGTTTCCACCTGTATCCTTTTCCGGCTCCATTCTTATCCCTGTGTTTGTCTGTGCATTGAATTTCAAACAGTGCCATCAGATACTTGTGCTTATAAAAATAGGTAACACTGCCATGCAGCAATAGTTTTACAAGTATAAGTTCTCTTTCTTCTGTTTATTAGAGGTCTAGTCAAACACAGCCAAAGGAGCACTCACTCCCTGTCACACAAAATACATAGAGAAACCAGACTGGGAGCATGGTGCTTCCATAAACCCTTATGGTGTCAGGGAAGTGAGGTGTTTTGTCCTCACAGAGATGTCCTGTGCATTCTCCCCTGAGGAGCAAAAAAAGGGCTTCTTGCACTCATGAGCAGACATCAGTCATTAGGAGACCATGAGCAGTGCTATGTGTGCTGTGACTCTGCACTACCATCTCCTTTGTCTCAGGCTGAATGAGCAGGTTGGCTCTTGGAGAATTGCCCCTTAGGTTATCATGGTTTTTGGCTGCCTACTACATTTGCTTTCCATCATGACTTTCAGAACAGCCAGTGTAAGTTTACCCTGGCAGGATCAATGTTGATTATCGTCCACAGTCCTTGCAGAGAGCTGAAAGGCTAGAACGATGCTGTGGAAAGTACTGCTCTCCCCTCTGTGTCGTCAGTTGCACAGCATCATCTGAAAGAATATTCATAGGAGATTTTTCATGCAATATAATGAGGGGAAAGAGGTTTTCTCAAGACTGACAGCCATCTGACATCTTTCCCTAACCCTGTCCCTGAAAGTGCTTATTTTTGCTGCCCTTTGCTCATGGAAGCAAGCTTGTACTGCCAGGCACCATATTAACTACTGTTCTAGTATTCAGTTTACATACGTTATGATTTTGTTAGTTGAAAATCCACCCTGGGCTGAGCTGTATCAAAGCTGTTAAAATCTCCATGAATCCTCAGAGTCCTGCTAGTTTTGACTAGACACTGTTACAGCTGCCAAAAGTTCAAGGAATTGTCAGGGCTTCAGAGACACTGGCTCTAACTGACCTGAGCAGGACCCACAATTTTCAAACCAGTACAGCTGCATTTTATAATAGTCACCATTTCCGGAGAGGTTGCAGAACTCAGATAATTACCCTGAAAGAAATAAGACAATATTCTTTGATGAGAAGATTACTTTGAGAATTTGATTGTATAATGAAGCTGTTGCTTTGAAAGGTACTTTCTATTGTTCAAAATCTGAAAATCTCTAGCAAAAAGTGTCACTTGTTTTGACAGCCGACTTAAAAAATTCTCTGTTTATTACATTAACTGCAGCATTTTAGCTGTCAAACTGTGAAAGAATGTTCTATAGTTTAAAAAACAGAATAGAGCTCAGGGAAATTTTTGGCAGGCTCTTGTTGCTATTGGGTGGTCTTTTTTTTCTTTGGAAACACATACACTGAATGTGAAAATAGCTTTTTGTGAAGTAGCAAACACAGCTCTCTGCTCCTTATAATGCCTGGAGCACAGGTGCAGACCTTGAGCAAGTCCCTGGAAAAAATATTGTGGAATTAACACAGCTCTTCTTTACAAGCATTTCAATCCTTCACTATGAAAATACGTCCTGAAAACATTTTTCTAGTTATTTTTGTTTGATTTTAATGGTGTTCAGATATAGCTAACTTGATGGTAAACTCTAATTAAATAGGATGCTATAATACAAAGCTAAACACAATAATAACAGGAGTCTTTAAAGGGTGAATGGTATTCATCACACAACAGTGTTTTAACTCAGATGATGTTATGGATTATATTCTTTTTTAATACGCTAGGCTACATTAAGTTAACAGTATGACTGAAACAATAAATCTGTGTTATATATTCTTGGTGACTTCACTCAGCAATTTTTTTTCTCAGTACAAAGAGTGTTTGATTCCACATGTGATCAGTAATCAAATTTTAGTGCCACTTGTAAAAGTAAGCTTGACAGGATGCTAGGGAGAGGAAGTAAAAACAAATCTAAACATGATAAACAGCACAAAAAATACCTGTAATAATATATATAAAATAAAATAAAATTTAATTGTTGCTAAGAATCTATAGTTTCTTGAAGGGCTTGTAAAAATTAAGCAAGATATATTTGTTCTCTTGTTCTTAAAATTTTTATTTAGATATTCCACCCAGCTATTAGTAGTAAGAATCATACTGGATTTCTCCATAAAGACTGTATTAAGTTCAGTAGTCCTTGGTGGAGTTTCCTGCCAACGACATTTAATAAATCAAGTGTTATTGCTGGGACAGACAACAAATACGGATTATCCTTCCACATATCAGTTCACTGACATTTATGGGTATTATATGTGGTAAATGGTATTTATGGAGTTAATCAACGAGCACTGATTCAAGTACAAAGATTACATAATTAGCTTCGGCGCTAGAGTAAGTGAGCGTGCATTCACTTTCACACTCATACACAGGTAGTGGGTAAAATTATTCATGTCTTCTATACATTTTTTATGGTACTTGAAGACAAAATTTGTACTCTGGAAATATATGCTTATTTGACGTATAATCACAGTGTTATGGGGTCTCTGATCTTTTCCCTTGTTCTTATCTGAGAATTTTCTGGTTAGCTGTGTAATAAAAATAATCAATGATATTGCTTGTACATACGTGGTTTATCAATGGCAAAGTACTATTATATTGCCAACATCCTAGTCACAGAGAAGCTCAATGTCTCTGACCTTGATAAATTCTCCAAACACTGAACAGTTTTTATTGATCACTTAATATCGCCTGAGTTCTCCTGTCCATTAATGTGTACCCTCGTTCTCTACCTATTCCATTTATTATCCTGTCTATAACCAGCTATTGCTGTTAGAATGTGTCCCCTGCAGAAACTAGGTCTTTACACAGCAGGATCCTACAAATCAACATCAGTGGGTCACCACACAGGTTTTACAGAAGCAGTGATGCCTAATATCTCTCCACGTGACATCTGCAGGAGCAGAAGTAAAGCCTGGGTACATCCACTATAGATTGTCAGTCCTCCCAAGGTACTAACACAGGAGGCAAATGGACATCCTGAAAGAAGAGTGTACCCTTTTGTCTTCATAGAGATCTGATGTAATAAGACATCATCCTTTTATATCTTAATTTCATGTAGAAATCTGTTAATTTGTTACCCTGTTTTCCATTTTCCAAAACACACTGGTTTTGCAAGCATGTAATAAAATTAAAGTTGTTACTTCCTATGGGAAGTAGTATTTGTTAAAATCCTTACCTTGTGTTTCTTAAATCTCCAGTGAAATGTAGCAAGTACTGGCTTGGCTTTATTCTGTACTTAATTAAGCTGATACTGCCCCACATAAATCACTAAGAGTGGCAGCCTTATAATTTCAAGCCAGATTTAGAAATAGTAAAGAGTACTTTGAGTCACTAGAGGGCATAGCAGTACCAAACCAGTTTCTGTTTCTCCCTTAACAGTTTATTCCAGTCTGTATGAGGAAAAAAAAATTTAATCCAAAACGTTTTTTGTCTAAATTTGTCTTTAATCTGGGTAATAATAAATGCATGTCATTGGTAAGTGAAGAACAGGTGAAAAATACAGCTTGCTTAGCAGAGAAGATGTCAGTTGTCCTTATGTTTTCTATGACTTCTTCAGTACTTTGTTCATCCAAAAGAAGTCTCCCATCAAACTTCTTTTGCAAAAAGATGCAAAATAATTCCAGAGTGACACAATTGCTGGGTGCTCCCTCTACCTCACACATGATTTAGACAGACTGTTGAACCAAGAGGTGATTAGGCAGAAAACCTGTAGAGCACTATATTTCTTTATATGACCTTCCTGATCCTCTAGATGCTAGAATCTCCTATAATATTGACATTTTAGGAATAAAACTTATATCGGAAAGGTTCATTGTGACATTTCTTTTAGGGCTGTCCAAGATTCAACTGTGCTGTTAATTCTTTTGATACCACACATTTGTCCTGGTTTCAGCTGGGATAGAGTTCATTTTCTTCCTAGGAGCTGGTATAGTGTTGTGTTTTGGATTTAGTATGAGAAGAATGTTGATAACGCACTGATGTTTTCAGTTGTTGCTAAGTAGTGTTTAGTCTATAGTCAAGGATTTTTCAGCTTCTGATGCCCAGCCAGCGAGAAAGCTGGAGGGGCACAAGAAGTTGGCACAGGACACAGCCAGGGCACCTGACCCAAACTGGCCAAAGGGATATTCCATACCATGTGACATCATGTCTAGTATATAAACTGGGGGGAGTTGGCTGGGAGGGGCAGATCACTGCTAGGGAACTGACTGGGCATCGGTGAGCAGGTGGTGAGCAATTGCATTGTGCATCACTTGTCTTTCTTGGGTTATATTTCACTCTCTTTTTGTTATCTTCATTTTCATCATCATCATTATTATTATTATGATGTTATTATTATTTTCTTTTTTATTTAAATTATTAAACTGTTCTTATCTCAGCCCACGAGTTTTACTTGTCTTTGATTCTCCTCCCCATCCCACCGGGCAGGGTGGGAGGAGTGAGTGAGCGGCTGTGTGGTGCTTAGTTGCTGGCTGGGGTTAAACCACGACAACACTGCAGACAGTGGGGTTTGGAACTGCACACTAGCCTGTTCTTAATGCAAGCATGTAAACCTTCTCCTCTGAAACTCCTGCCCCTGGACTGGACTTCCTGTATCCCATTTCCTCACATTTTAAATTTATCCTTTCTCCTTTCTTATGACTAGGTTGTTCTTTTCTTCTGTTCTTGGCCCATTGATTTAATTACTTATATTCTGCTTTTCACAAATCTAAAACACATTGTTTGAAAGAACTTAGTCTTATGAAAATAACTTGGGGTAACGCTTTAAAGGATTTTTTCTGTGTGTGTGTATGTGCTCCAATGTGCTGTCTGAAATTATATCACAGGAGAATTTGTCCTTTGAGAAAATAAGGCTGTATTAGACACTTACTTAAACTGAAGAGAATCTTGTGAGTGGGAAAAAGTTTTGGAGTTACTCACAAGCTCCTACAACTCCTTCTCATGGGTGCTGTTTATTAGATCCTCCAAAGCATCTCTTGACACACTGCAGTTCTCAGAGTATTTGTGTCCCTTTTTAGCAATCAGAAAATCTTATAGTGTGTAGACTACAGAAATGTAATTGTTTCAGTCACAGTGGCAGCCTTATTCCTTGTTGTGCTATAGGAGGATTACTCCATCAATGCATGCTTTTTATCGATGGCAGCTTCTTGTATTTTTCAGTGAGAGAAGTTGAAACTACTAGGTGGTTCTTATTTACCTTTGTGGCTAAACAACAGCACTCAGCATTAAGTCTGTAGCAGTCATTTACTGTCCTCCAGGATGCACTGCTGCCTCTTCCAATTTTTTTGGCAGAAATTCATGCACTCCTTTACAAACCACTACTACTGTCTGTTTGCTACAACTAAATAGTGCCACATGTGAAAAATAGTGCAGATCTCACACTTGGGAGTCGTTTTGAAAGGAACAGATCTTTATGTACCATTTCTCATTTATCTGACCATTTTACATATAGAACACCTGATTTCATCACAAAAGCTGCTTAATCAGGATCTCTCTAAGGTGGTTGCTATGGCTGCTGCTCAGTGTCAATCAGGTGCTTTCATAGCACTTACATCCTCTGTGTGTTTCTAGTCCTCCAGCCAGAACCATCGTTCAGTCCCTGTTTAGTGAGGATGTACCTTTCAGTAGACAGTACAACAGCATTTTATGTTGTTTTGTACTTCTCTGAAGCATTTATTTTGGGCATTTATTGCATTTTGCTGTCCTTTTTATCTTCTTTCTATAGGCCTGGCCAGAGAACTGTAGATGACTTAGAATTTATATATGAAGAACTTCTTCACATTAAGGCCTTATCTCATCTTTCTACCACAGTAAGTATTTTTGAAAATACAACTCATCACCAAAAAGGAGGCTGAATTTTGACTTCTAGTGCTCTATTAGAATTGGAGTGCCTATAACCATTTCCATTTACACTTCCCATGCAAAGCAGTTATTCCCACCTGTGAGGACCACCCAAGCACTATGCAGATGTAGGTTGTCTTTTGGTTATCAGATATAATTCTTTTCATGTGTTCCTGCACAGCCCCTACCTCACTCACTTGGCACAGATGTCTCCATCTGGGTCCATATCTGAGTTTAAATTAAGATGCATGCAATCTGACCTGACACCTGGGACTGTGGCGTTTCTGAATTTTGCAGAATAGATGTTTGATTTCTGAACTGTAAGAAGTCTTGGCTTGAACCAGTTAGGAGGAGGAGTTACACAGTGCAGAAAGGTGTACTGTGCAGTGCTGGCTGGTTGGAGTTTGGTCATTGAGTGAAGGAAGCCTCATCACGCACCTTCTCTCTGAGTGGGCAAGAACAGTGCAGAGAGCCAAGAATACATGAAATGGAGAAAGTGCCTGGAGGAGAGAACACAACTGTTTAAAGTCTCACCGTTGTTGACACACTGTGTAGGCAACTGAAACAAGCTAAATAGCACTTTACTTGGTAGCAGCAAGGTGTGGGTGCTTTCAGAAAAAGAAAGCCAGTCAGAAAGTAGATTTATGTTTGACAATAGCTCCTCTGGAAGCTCTTGATATTTTCAATAATTCTCAGCTAACTTGGACAGATGCAGCTAGTTATGAAGCTGCATTACAGAAAGAAAGTACTCTGTGCAAACATATAACACCTGAGCAATGTTTTTAAAAAGAATATGCATCCAGAGTTGCTAACTGAACTAAGAGGGAACAGCCAGCCAAAATCCTTAAGCATCTCTGGGATGTAGGTAAAAAAGTATTTAAAGAAACACTTCTGTAAGATCCAGAAACGACCCTTTTCAAATCAAACAAAAGACACTACCCAAGATAGACAGATACTGAGAGGGAGTGGAGAACACTCTTGATACTACAGACATAACCCAGAACAAAAAAATCCAAACCACAAAATATTTCCAGCTTGGAAGAAATTCAGACTTGAGGTCAGAATCCACAGCAAGTAGCATATAGAACAAGTATGGCAAATGATACAAACTGGTAAATGATACAAACTGCAAGAAATACTTGGCATTTTGAAGAATTGCAGTTGATTCCATGTTTTTAGTAAGAATTTGGAAATTCCAGTCTATTATGTGCAACATGAACTAAAGCAGAGGACAGAAACCATGGCTAACTTAGAGGAAATCTTCAGAGGAGCAACAGACAGCATTGCTCCTATGAACCAGAAGATTAATGGTCAATCAACTTGAAAGCAAATGGAATGTTTATTCATTTTAAGAAAGGCATAATTCCTAAAGTAATATGTTTTCTAGATATGCCACAAGCAGCAGGAAGTAAAATGGATAAAACTCAAGTTGCATGGTGGTGAACTAATCCCTGCTAGAGAAGCCTGTGAAGTTAATGTATGAATGAAAAACAATTATATAATACAGTGTTAAAAACAAATCAAATTCTTGGCTTCATCAAGAGGATTCATTCACTACAGAGGCAAATGACTGAACCAACTGAGAAGACATCTGAGGATGTATATGGATAGCAACGCTCTCTACAATGTGCAGAACAGTGCTAATGGGGTTGTATTTCCTGTCCTCATGAAAGTGTCATTGCCTTTAGGCAGAGGTTGTAATAGAGTCTGGTGAGCTAATTGTTATAGAAATCACAGGCCTGTGGGTGTGTTCACTGGTCAGTGTACTAAAAAAACTTGTCCAAACACCTCTATTTATCCCTCTTCTTCTCCAGACTGCAAATAGGAAGTGCTTTGCACTGGTTGTTGGGAAAAAGTTCCGGGAGAGGTGACTGGTGTGGTATGTTTATGCTTGGTGCCTGAGCTAAGGGTGCCTTTAGGGCATCAGAGCCTGAGTTTGTCCACCCATCTTAGGAGATGCTGCCACCAGACTCTCATCTGGATTGTGTCCAGAATTTGAGAGCTCCTCCCCAAGTTTTTCTTCATGGCCTAAAAATTTTTTCAATTTAAACGGGAGAATGGTGTGAAAATGCTACTACTAAATATATGTTGAAGCCAGCTTTTGATCTCTATTTGGCACAGTTAAGTTATATGGTAGTACCTCTGAAACATTGATTGTCATCAGCTCACAGCCTCTGAAAACAAGAATCCCACTGCTTGGAAATTGGCCTCCAAGACCTTGGAGACTTGCGGTTGTGCAAAGAGAGACATAAAGCACACAGGAAAACTCAAGATAATATGAGGTTCCCACTGCTTCTACTATGTTGTGAGAGTAACACTAACAGTGTTTACAGTGAGAAAAAATGGTTGTAAACAGTGTCTCACTAGAGGCAACTGCCCAGTCAGTCGTAAGAGCTAGTCACACCAGAGTAATACAAACCCAGTGAGGAGCAGGCTGACACCAAAGGCACTGTCACACTCTTCAGTTCCTGGAAGAGGTGGTGAGCTGGACGTTTTGCCTGGGAAGCTGTCAGGCGGAGAGGGGCCTCAGCAGGTCCAGATGGCTGTGCCTTGCAGGTCAACACAGCAGAAGTGGCCAGACTTACGTCAGTAAGGAGAAGGGTACTGATTTCTCAGGGAAGAGCTGGAGTACTGCAGAACCCCATGAAGTAATTGACAATTGCTAGCTATCTTCTGTAATAGATTAGCTATTACCATCTGAAATTTTCCATCACATTAATGTTAATTGTTAGTGATGGTTTCACATGTGTGTGTATGAAGAAAGATGGAGACGTCTATCTTAAAGATGCCCTTGTCTGAGCCTTTTGGAGCCAGGAAATGTAGAGGCTCATATTCTGTAAAGCCAATCAGTAGGAAATAGGACATCAAGTGAAGCAGACCATTGTCTGGCTGTGTGACTCTGAATGAGTGCTGAATGATGCAGAGGGAAGGAAAGCAGTGACTGGGGTATATTATGTGACTTCTTCTCACCAGGAAGAATAAGATACATATAAAAACTATAATTTATCTCTTTTTATTTTAAGGTAAAGCGAGAATTAGCAGGTGTCCTCATTTTTGAGTCACATCCCAAAGCAGGAACAGTCTGTAAGTAAATGGAGTCCTGTCAGATCTTCTTTCTCATCTGTGGCATGAACATTTAAATTCTTAATGTTTAAATGACAAGAGCAAAACTTGGATGCAGTCTTCAAACTTGACTCGCACTCATTGTTTAAAACCTGGGGTAATACATGTTGGCTTAGTCTGTTGCCAATTGCAGGGACAGTACCAGAATTAATTCTATATCCTTGGTTGGATGTATATATCACCTACAATTTAGGTGTGTTTTGATCCAGAATCTTGGTTGGACCGATCTCTATTTAAAATGTATTCTAATATTATCCTTGTATTAATAAAAAATTCCTGCTGCACAAAATAAAGGATTTAAAATGTTAAGATTACTCAGATCTGTTTATACGGAGAAGTTTTAGCAAATGAATGTCAAATTCACAGCCACTAGAGAATTGGGTTAGAACATGGTGCTACTGGTGGGATCCAAATCTGTGTGGTGATTATTAACTGATAACCTGACATGTATCGATAAAGTAGTTGTTGCAACCGTCATGGAAAATAAAAGCAACTTTCACATCAGTGTAATAAAATAACTGCTATCTGGGTGTGGGGGTTTTTTTTCTGAAATCTGAAGGCAATTGCTTCTAAAATCATAGTATGTGCTTTTTCAAGGTAGGCATTATTAATATGACTGCAATAGAATTACCTTGAATTTTATTGAGTGCAGAATCTGTCCCATTTATATTTTGAATAACTATATTCTCACTATAAAATCTTTTCTCTCTCTTGTAGTATTTAATCAGGGAGAAGAAGGTACTTCTTGGTATATTATCCTAAAGGGATCAGTAAACGTAGTCATTTACGGCAAGGTATGTTTTTTCAGAAGCCTTTTTATATGATTCTTACTATTGAAATTGTAAGAGTAAACTTTGAAGGAATACAGTTTAATTTAGAGCAGAATTGCTTTGTCTGAGGAAACAAATTGAACATAATTTTATTAAGAAATGATCCAGTGGTTTCACTGATTATAATTCCAGTTGATTGCTGTATAATTTCGGGATATATTCCACACTTTCTGAATATAATTCAGCAGAGTTAAATCAGTAGGTTAACTGATTTAAAGTTAAACTTTAGGACAAAGTCATTTGCTGGAATTTGGTGAATTGCCAGACTTCTGTCTCATGGGTGTTTTGTCCCTTTACCACCATATTTGCTTGCATTCGTATGACTAACTTTTCTCACGCATGTCTGACAGAAGTACTGCTTTGTGACTAGTGGTTCTCAGGTTGGATGAACCCCTCCCAAATTTACGTTAGCTCTTCATTTTAGTTAAGCTATAGACTGAAAAGCATCCCTATTAAATTTCCTGTTTATGAGGGAGATTTTTCAAGGCAAAAAATAGGACTTTGGTACACAGCAATCCATTGAATCTTTAAAAATTCCTACTTCCCTATTGATTTCCCATTCAGCGACTGACAATCCTCCATTCTGAACACCAAGCATTTCACCAAAATCTAGCATAGGGGCCCTGGTGCTAAGTCTGTTCCTAAGTAACCCATATTTAGCTACATTTTTTACATCACTGGGTGGGCCAGATCCCAGTTACTATAAACTGTAAATTGGAGTAAATGGAGCACTGCTGATATACACCAGCTGAGGATGCGGTGTTACATGTTATTTCTGCAAACTTGATCTTATTTTTTAGGGCCTCTATAAACAAAAAACAAACAACAACTTTCTGTCTTCAGCAGGGCTAGAAGAGTCCTTCAAGCTGAATGTAATTTCAGAGAACAAGCCAATTCTTTTCTATTCTTGCCTTTCTTCAGTAATAGTAATAACCAGCTATCAAGTATTGTTTCGTAGTCATTATTTTGGCTGTTGATTTCCTGCCAAGTAGATTTGTTTTGGTATTTGATTGTGAAGTCCAGTGTTTGTACAAGGACTTTCAATAGAATACAGAGTAATGATGGGTTTCTGCATGTAAATGTTTTGCTCTGTACAGGGTGTGGTATGTACTCTACATGAAGGAGATGATTTTGGCAAGTTAGCGCTTGTGAATGATGCTCCCAGAGCAGCATCCATTGTTCTGCGTGAAGACAACTGCCACTTTTTGAGAGTAGACAAGGAGGACTTCAACAGGATCCTTAGGGTAAGAGCGGGAAGGGCCACCCTCACAGCATGATATCAGAACTTGCAAATTTTTCTAGAGTTTTTCTTATTTCTATGGATACGTTGATATTGATAACCTTGTTTGAAGTGTCCCTTATTGCAGAACAGAGATGTGACAGTCTAGAAGATCAAGTCAAGAATATTTTAATCATCCTTCCTCTTTTTCTTTTCCTAGCTCAGTCATGAAAATGGGACCAAATGGAATCTTTTGTCTCTCACATTTCTGTAGTCTATAATTTGCCAAATGCTCAGTTTTATTTTATGCTGTCCAGGATTTATGGGTGATCTTCCATCCAAACAGTGAATGAAACAAGATCACCCATTCTTCCAGATATGCAACTTAAACTCAATAGATTCAAGGCAGACTCAAGTGGCAAATTAAATAAGCTACAGGTGAACACACAGATGTCTTTATCAGAGAGCTCTAGGAAGATATTCCCAGGCTAATTTTACAGTTACTCACATTAGGGCAAATGTGTTCCAAAGTCCAGCTGTAATTCTGTAAATACAGGCTGTTTTGTGATCATTCATAGCATAGGAAGTCAAGACCAGTATCATCCTGTATTTGAATGTATACATGCCCAGTATTGCAGCAATAAAACCAGTACAGATTTCTGTGCTAGAAAAATGACATAAGATTGTGTTTACTGTACAAAAGGGAATGAGGATCCCATTGGCAGTAAGGGTGGTTGGAGAGTCCCAAATGATTTAGCTTTGGTCAATACTTCAAAGAAGATCAAAGTCCATAGTCTTACTGATTTTCATTTGTGTTATTTGAATGCACATTATATTTAATTCTTCTTTTTTTCTTTTTCTACTATGATCTGGTAGTAGAAAATGAAAAGTTTACTGACAGTTTACTGAGCTAAAACTTACTATTTTTAAGTGCCATTTTCTTTTTTTTTTTAAGAGAAAAGTCAGATTATAGATAATAATGGTCATATATAAGTGGGGATAGAGATTACATTACATATGGAAAGTTTTGGGGGGACACTCTGCTTTTTGGCAAACTTTTTTTTCCTTTGCCATAGCCAGAGATTTTTCACATGGTTCTTGCTCTAGTCCCTCCCACATTTCTCTGCCTCTTCCCTCAGCGCCAGTGCTTCCCTCTTGATTCTGCCTGAGAGAAAAGCAGAATAAAGATAGATAAATACAGGGGAAAAGAACCAACCCCAGAGTCTTTTGTGTTGAAAGTCATGCACTTTTTTGGAGTAACTAATCAGCCAAATCGGGTGTAATTACTTTATTAAAAGTAACTTGTCTTGCAGGATGTGGAAGCAAATACAGTAAGACTCAAAGAACATGACCAAGATGTCTTGGTGTTGGAGAAGATCCCAGCAGGAAACAGAGTTTCTAATCAAGGAAATTCACAGCCTCAGCACAAGTATGTTTTCATTCAATAGTGCAAATGTCAGACAATGATTAACCTTTTCATATGGTATTATTATCTGAACAATAGCATATTCCCTCTTTCTGTGGAAGAATGCAGTGCATATAAAGTTTTCTTTTTTTTAATCATCTGCTGATCACATGCCCCATACTGGATAATATATCCATTTCCAGCAGCACACCAGTTCTATGTCTTTACACAATAATTCTCTAAAGATCTCGCTGTAAATACTTATCTCGTGTAATAGCTTCTAAATAGACTGCACATGGAGAATGCTGAAACCCTATTAAGCTGAGCTACTGTGTAAAAGACGTGAGGAAAATACATTGTTTTATTGTTAAGTGCAGATATTTTCATTTTGGATTTTGAGCTCTGGATTCTAATAAGAGTTTGCTAGGTACAATTTATATACAAAACAAAGATCTCATGCAATGAAAGTCACACAGCTTATCTTACAGAATAGGGTTGCACTGTAATAACAATATTCATTGTATTTTCTTTAGTTTCTTACTGAAAGGGAAAAAGTACAATTCTGTTTGGATACTACTGTGATAAGAGTAGAGTGAGGCTATTATCATTCCAAATGTTGGTAAAACCCCTAAAGGCTTTGTAAATGTGTTATTTGCAAATGGATGCACAATTTTCTTCAGAAACGCTCGAACAACTCCAACAAAATAAGCACCAAGAAGTTTCGAATCCTTTACCCTGGACCTTACTTTTTCTCAAAGAAAGAGCTAATTTACTGTGAGATATTTTGGGCACAGTTTTTATCTGATCTGGGATTTCATATACCTATTTTATCTGCATAACTGAATATAAAGATCTGTAAAGATCTGTGAAGGGTTGATTAAATCATTCCTTGTATTTTATATACACATTTCACGTATTTCAGAAACTGCCATTTCATCTTTCACTTGATCTGTTAGAAAAACAAACTATGCTACCAGGAAAACATGGACTCTTACAACAAATTTTTCTTTGTCTAAATGAAGGGAACTTGGCTGCAGCCAGTGGATTTGCATCAGCAGCTGCAATACACAGCAGCTTCGTCATAGATTTAAATACATTTTCTTGGGTCTGATATATTTTTCATGCTTTCAAAAGTAAAAGTTTCATTTAAACATATTTCAAACACCACCTTCCTTGCAAACTCTGCACCAGTATTACTTGCATTGTCTCACATTTTCTTCTTCAGAATTGAATAAAAATAGCTAGAGACATTTATGGTGCCTAGTTAAGTTAGGCTCTATATTAAGGCTTACATTCCAGGAATATTTTCAGGTAAAGCTCAAAACTTCATTTCTGTAAATATTTTATGCATTTGGTCAGCTTTGGATACTGTCAATGTGCCAGCAAGGGAGCTTTTGCTGATAACAATGACAAATAGACATAAGCTACACAAAAGAGGAAGCTACCTTGAAAGTTCACTGTCTGCTTTTCAGCAGATTCCTTTGTTCATAGTGTGTTGGCAGTGTCTTTTTGTTTAAAGTCTTCCGAAGCGAGTTCACTGGTTTTGAAGATGACATTTCTTTTGTTTCTTTTGTTAGTAAATACAGTAAGTGGCTACATTTATGCTTGAGAGTCCAAATCAAAGTTACTGATATATTCTGATTTCCAGAATGTGTTACTGGAATGTGTTAGCTGAGTGTTCAGTAATTTTGAAAATCACTGTGCCCAAAAGAGAAGCTTAACAGGGACCTCTTCTTAAAGGCTTGCTGCTTTGCCCTTAATTGAATAGCTTGCGTCTCTGATATCTCTTCAAATGAGCTGCCCTTTGGGCTTTGCTCCCTAAGCAGGTACGTAGCATTTGCACTAGAGAAATATTCTGCATCTCAAAGTTGTTTCTTTAGATACCTGGTCAACCAAGAAACTAATTTTCTTCATCTTAGTCTTGGGGAAAACTTTGTTTTGGGAGCAGATCCTCTCAGTTGCAGTTTGGATACTGAGGAGGCATAGCTCCTACATAGCTCCTCGAGCCATGCTTTCAAACAGTGACAGTTTTGCTTCGAAGGACTAGCTCTGAAGTTCTCACTCCCAAGATCTAACTCTTTATGGGTGATCACACTCACACAGGATGAATTCAGCAGACCTGCAAGTCACTTCACTGTTCATTTTCACTTTCATATTCAGAGTACAGCCACCTGTGATTTCTCTGCTTCACTCACTTAGATACTTGGTTAGTATCTCTGTGAGAATGTGCACTGGCTTAACAAGTGTTTGTGTTCTTGGGACATCAATACAGTTCTTCCAAAGGGGTTGACAGGTAAAAGAACTGTGACGGTCAGCGCTCAAAGTGAGGAGGAGCTCCCAGGAGCTCAGCTCCACCACTTATTTCTCAGCAGGAGCAGAGTATCTTCACTTCTCGGGGTTTTTTCTCTTTTTTTTTTTTTTTTTTAAGTTTCATACTTTATCAGTTGGATTCCAAAAAAAAAGATGCAAAGATTGAAAGAATGGAGGGAAAGATAAAAAAATCCAATCTGCAAGGAAAGAAAAAAAGACAACAGGACAAGTTTAGCAATATCCTATGATATTCTGCTGGTACTTAAAATCTTACCACTGTTTTTGCATGAAGCAGAAAAACCTGACTATTGCACTAGTTCTCTCACCTCCCCTAAATTTACTCCAGGAAATGGTACAATCCTAAGTTTAACGACTTCAAAAACTTACTTACTTCAGCTATCTAAGGCATTGCACAAATTTGAAGATACAGTGTGCTATTTCATTATCTGTCCCCATCTTCTCAAACCAACCCATCAGTGATGCTGAAGGAAATTGTTTCCTTGCTCTGACACAGATACATACCAGTTTTCATTTCATGCTCATAGTAAGTCTGTTAAGACCCTCTAATGACTGTGAATTGCTGTCATTACTGAGATATTTATTCTCAGTGGAGAAGCATTTTTGATTGCACTTCCCCAGGTTTGCACCAGTGCAGCTCTCCTGATTGCAGTGTAACTGTGGTGGTGTTATACTGGAGTACTTGTGCAGGGAGGGGGCCATCTGTCATCTCACGCTCCCTGGGTAGGGTGGAGAGTGTTATTGCTCCCATTTTACAGGGGCGAAGCCAACAAAGATTGTGAGTGGTTTTGTCCGAAGCCACACAGAGATTCTGGTCAGAGCAGGTGTTTGTACTCTGGCACTCGTCAGTCCTGGTCTTCTCACTGGTACACAACTGCTTCTTGATTAGCTGTTTTGCCTGTGAGACACTAACTGCTCCTTTCCCTCCCTCAGGTATATTGTGATGTCAGGAACCCCAGAGAAAATTTTAGAGCACTTCCTAGAAACTATGCGCCTTGAAGCAACTTTAAATGAAGCAACAGGTATTGACATGACAAAGGCTGTGTTATTATTACTGCATAAGATGGTCTTGCTGGGGGAACACCGCAATGTGATGCTTTGAAAAGCAGCTAGTGTTAGTTCTTACCACAATAAGAACTATCCACTGCTCTGAAACAACCCTGAGAAAACCTAGGAAATCCAGAATTAAAGATAACAATCCACTCCCCCTGGCCTGCTCTATTGTATTTGTACTTTCAGTTCAGAATAGAACAGCAAAATCCTAAAAGGTGCCAGACCACTAGTCACAACTTTAATTAGGCACAACTATAAGGCCAGGACAGAGCATGCATTACCACCCGATGATAATATACTCATACTTCTTGTTCTGAATGTCACTTAGTACTGTGAACTAGATTGATACCTCCAGCCGTTGCATTGCACTAGTGTAAGTATTCCCAAATTTTCATATCCATATCACATTTAAAGTATCACAATTGAAATTACTTGTTTGAGACACTTTTCCATGTACAGGGGAAGAAGAACTGTTACTCAAAAGGGAACTCAGCACACCATGGGCCAGGTCCCAAGAATGCAGGTTGCTGCAGCTGCACTTAATAGCCTGCTTTTCATTAATGTAAAGAGAACAGAGAATTTACATCTAGGGATGTAGATATTTGCTGACTTACTATTAGTAGAGTCAGACACAAAAAATTCCTCCTAATTATGATAAAGCAATGCAGAGACTTTTATATTAAGCTGCATAATACCGCTTTAGCAAGTTCTTTTTATATTGCAGATGTCTAAGAAGTATGTATTCAAAGGTGTTCTTAAATCCAGTTAATCTGTTACTGACCTCATAGTATTGGAGAAACCTGTACAGACATCCATAAATGGTGGAAGAACTGACAGATTACAGAAATCCTTTTATAGTGTGTGTTTTAACACTATAAAATAGTGTGTTAAAAGAATAAAAATTATCCTTTTCGTAGATACCTGTTTATTAGGATTACAAGCAGAATGTTGTTCTTTAAGCTTGAAAGGATATAATCACAAGTTTACTATTCATAGTATGCATGTATTATATGTTTTTCTAAAACAAATTATTTTTTAAATCTTTTCCCAAAAACATCCAATGACAAGATTATACCTGTATCCTAATGTGATACAAAATGTCACAATTCACAAAGCTATTTTTAGGATATCGAAGCTCAGAGTGCTGGAAAATTGAATTTTTAGTTTATGCATTCCTTTAATTTAAGAACAGTTAAAATCCAGTTTGCTCTGTATATTATGGAAGGAAAAAGTCCCACCCTTCCAGAGGTGAGTTTTGTCAACTGAGACATATTTTCATATATGAATTACAGTGGAAGCAATGATGTAATGTTATATTACACAGTTATCTCACCATATTTTTTCTGATATCGCTTACTTACAGGGTTTTTAAATGTTTCTCTTATCTCAAAAGCTGCACTTTTGATACCAGAGGGTGTTGTGTTTATTGTTTCTCAGTGATTCCATATAAGACTTGCATGGTTTAAAAGTAAAATAAAATTTATTCTCACTGCCAAACTTATTCTGGCCTCTGCAGCCAGGCTTTATAAATCCTTCTTTTTGTCACAAATACAAAGGTAAGGCAAACTGGGATTTACAGCAGCACTACCACAGATCATTTTCACAGAAAAAATAGCCTGTTATTTTTTGCCAGAGAAAATGTCAATCATATTGTTCATATACATTTTAATGTAAATGTAACAGCTGTGATACTTTTGAATCAAAATAAAACCAGAAATTTGGCTGTCCATTTACCTCTTTTAGGCCTTCTGCTCATTGCTAGGAAAACAGCAAAGAATTAAATTATTTGCCTTCTCCTTTGTAGTGTATACTAAATGTGCTGTCTGGTATTGTAGTTCCCTAAAGCCAAATGCAGCAGCATTTCTTAGGTACCCAGGTGTGGCAGGCCTCATTCTTCTTATGCTAAGATCTCTACACTTTTAGAGAAGTATATCCAAATATTTCACTTCAGCACAGAGTTTGGGGTTTTTTGCTCTGCCAAATTTCTCTTTGACGCAGGCAAATGCCTGTTAACATAAGTGCAATAAAATTCATGCAGACAAGAATAAAAGCTTAATATTCCAGCTCATATTTGTTCATTCCCCATTTTCATACTTAATGCCTACAAACAAAGTGCAAAAAGACCCCTTTATTATATGCAGAGGGCTAATAAAATATTTTAGCTGAAAGAAAGCCCATCGTTGTGATCCTCAGGCTGTTTGCAGGGGCTTAATTGACTGTTTTCTTTCTTCTCTTTTCACAGATTCTGTCTTAAATGATTTTATTATGATGCACTGTGTTTTTATGCCAAATAGTCAGCTCTGCCCAGCCTTGATGGCACAATATCCTTTTGTAAGGGAAAAGTTACATCCCTATAACAGCTGTCCCTATCAGTGATGAGACTGAAGCTTCTCTCTCTCAAGAAGTACATAATGTTTCATGGAGACTGTGCCTTGTGGGTAGGTTCTCAGTGTCTAACTAACAGCTGTCCATAGCTCAACAACTCTGAAATGGATAGTGTACACTCATGATGAGAAACAGTCCTGGAGCATGAAAACTGTATCTTTCCTGTGCCGATTACTATTCCAAGGGAAAGGAATGTATTGTCCCTCCACCAGATAAGTGAAATTACATAAAAGTTTGGATTACCCTTCCTGTATCCTTTCTGTCTTTCTTAGGTTTTGCTGAACTGCAGCATCTAGATTTTAACTAAGATCATTATGTTTTGGTGATTTCAGTGGTCCACTTTATAGATTACAAGCTGCAAACTGCCTCAAGCAAAAGGGTGCCTAAACTAGTAGAATAATGTGTAAGTAGTTCCTAGATGCTGTCACAATTGTTATGAATAAAAATAATAATCTATAATAATAGTATATAGCAAATGTTAACAAACTGCAAGAAACTTCAATTGCATGCAAATACCTAGGAGATGAAAGCTTACAGTGGATAACATCTAGAGCTGGAGGTGATTCTTGTACTGTCTGCATGTTTTACAGAAGGAGTCTGTGAAATGTCCATCAGTCAGTTACTGGCAGGTCATTTAGTTTGGGGAGCTGTTGGGCACTGAGAGTTTTCCTTGTGCACAGTGACTTGAAGTTATCAAGTGACTGGGAGCATTAAATAAACATATAATGTTTTCTGGTTTATAGAATTCTGACAGGGGTATAATAACTTCAGTTCTCTATTTATTTTTTTAGAATCAGATTGGTGTGAAAGTGTGCTTTCCTTGAAGCTCAGTGGGGCGAGTGACATCTCGGAAAGCTAACACCCTGAAACCACAAAATAGAGCATCGTGTCCTTGTCTGGCAAGCTTGAGAATCCATTTGTGTTACTCCTAGCAAGGACAGTAATTGTTCTGAAAACCTTTGGACCCATAAAACTGGTCTGCAGAAAATTGTTCGTACACCTGAAACACACATTTTCCAAACCCACATAGTTTTGGATATCAAAAGTATTACGAAATGCTGTTGCTGACATCTTTGAGGAGAGAAAGAAAAGGGCAGAACTTTTTATGGTTGGGGTTTTTTTTCTGATTTATGTAGCTTATATTATTCAATCATTCCATTTGGGACTCAGGCTTGTCTAACCTCAGTTACGATAGTATACCTCTGATATCCAATAACTGGGAAAATCAGATGAATGAGGAAAAGCTTTTCTGAAGATCAAAGTGATAGTGTCAATTACGTATACGTATTCACTTGTGATGAAATCTCTTCTGGAGAGGAGGCTAAGACCGTGGTCTTAAATGGGTCATGGCAGGCATCATGGTAATTCTTTTCAGAGGAGGAGGAGGAGGAGGGCTGGAAGTAACTGGTATCCCACTGCTTTAGTGTCAGCCTTTCCTAGAGCTGAATTATTGTTTATTTGGTCCACTCTGAATATGGAAAATCAAACTGTGCTCTGTTGATTGTACCACTGGGATTTATTGTTAGAGTTGAAAGGTTGCTAGCAAAGCTCATCTTTTTTGAGCAAAATCACTCTACAAAAATGTTTGCCGGTGCCGTGTTTGCCAGTGAGACTAAGGAGGAATTAGTTATGCTAAGTGAGGAAATTAAAACAGAAAAAGAAAAAGAAGAAAGGTGATTCAGTCAGAGACACTGTTTTTGCTCCAGCTCCCAATTTTGAATCAATACAAGTCTATTTTCCTACACCCACTTAGGATAATATTGTAGCTGGCAGCATGTATGAGTAGAGCTAGACCACTGTAGTGCTTTCAAGCATAGTACAGGGTATAAATTATTTGGGTTTTCACTTCTTTTGCAGCAGCGTTTTGTCATCTGTAAGTTCTTTAATCCTGAAAGGAATGGATGGGTGCACCATTTTGGCTAAGTAACATTATTGCTTGCTGCAGATTCAGTGCTTATACTGTGCTGTCCCTTGGCACACCACTCTTTTTTAGTCATTAAAGTATATGGATCCTGCAATATTAAAAAAAAAAATCACATACTTCTTTTTTATAGAGAAGCAAAGGGCATGCTTCCCTGTCCTGGATCAGGACATCAGTCCTGTGTGTTGGACCAAGGCCCCTGTTTCCCTCTCTTCTTCACAGAGATGGAAATGGACAGATTCTCAGAGCTACAGCTTGTCAGAGGGAGACAGGACAAAGCCCAGAAGAAAACTTGAAATAGAGTAGCACCTCCAAAAGTGCACTTGGGATAGTGCAAGTGTGTGAGCATGTATGCAGGTATGCGTCTTTGAAGGACTACTGTCTAAATATTTATGAAGTATAAACTCCTCTGCTGCTCTCTGTAGATGATAGTCCTTTAGCATGTTTCCATATGAATGTTTTGTGAACCTCCTTTACCATCATGCCAGCAAAATAGTTTGCATTCTACTGTAGTAATGGGTGCTGATTTTGCACAGCTCCTGATATGGTTAAGTGTTCCCACACAGGATAGAACAGACTTCAGAATTGCTTCCATTTATGCTAGACATAATTAGAAATATATATATTGAACTCTAAGCATGCTGGTGTTGATAAATATTTTACAATTATCTGACACTTCTTGCAAGTATACATGATATTTTACTTCTGATTGCAGTCTGCAGTGAAGCTGCATCCTGTAGGTCCCGTAAAAATGGGAGAACTCTTCACTGACTTTCCCTGTGATAATGTTAATAAAAGAGCAATTAATATAAATGAGCAGTAAAAATACAGAAAAATTACCAGTGCCTGTGGTCAGTTAATAAGAAAGTAAAAATACATGAAATAATTACAGTGTTTGAAAGGTAAAAATGGGATGAGAAAAATGACTCAGTAGAATATTAAACTTGCTCCCCGAGACATTAGAGCACATAGCCTACAATATATTATTTACTTCTTATGACCCTTTCACTTATTTACTCCCATAAATATACTGACCTGTTTAGTTCTCTATTAATTTTAAACCTTTCTGAATGAAATTAAAATGCAGATTTCTAAAAGTTTGTCAGTCAAATGAGCACCCTGGTAACCCTGGTAGCACGTCAAATCTCTGCAGGGGTTTTGGGCAGGAGGATCATTTGGAAAGTGTGAGTTAATAGATACTTTTTCCCATTATGCTTTATGAGTATTTATTAGAGAAATGCTTCTAAATATGAAGCTTAAAATAAATATTTAGATAATTTTGATTTCTAATTAATATTTTAATTTTCTAATTAATATTTTAAAATCTCTTGTTAGAGCAACTGAAAGTGCACCTTGAAAGGGTGCTGGACTTTGCTGTGAGTGAAAGAGTGCCAGTATTTTAATATTAAAAGTTGCTATATAATTGGGAATAGTATTATTCATGACAATCCAGAATCAGAATTTTGGTATCCGGGAAGAAAAGTTGAAGATGTACCTGTAATCATTCTGTGTTTACTTCACATTCACCCATCAGTATATTGGGAGAGTTTAAATATATATTGTTAACCTCTGATCACTGAGAAGCAGGCACACAAATTGCCTTATCCTGTTTCTGCTGGGGATTATTCTTCATTTTCACATAGGTTAAAGGCTGAAATTATCTCAGTTTATTGTCCATTGTGCCTTTACTTTTTTCTTGGTTTCTTCCTTTCAATAAATGTTACTTTTGGCCTTTTTGCTATTTGCATATTTTTGTAATGTTGACACTTCATAATGAAAAATGTTTCCCATTTTTTCTTATTGTTTATCACAAAATAACTATCATAAAGTATTGTGTCCCAAATACACTTTATTTGATAGAGTGGAAAATTCTGATTTCCTCATATGTAAAATGAGGCTAATACAGAATTTATTATTTTACCCCATGTCTCTATAGTCAGCCTAGGCTGTAAACTTCCAGGTCCCCCTACCATAATGGTACTGAGGTTCACCTTGGGTTACAGTAACTTCTAAAAATAAAAGGAATACCACTGGTGGTTCATTCTGGTAGCCTTCCTCACAAACGGAAGACTGGAATTTAATAAACACAAAGTGACATTTTTCTTTTTTTTCAACTGTCACCAAAGAAGAACAAGGAGAAATATCCTTCTTCGGTCTCCACAGTTAATGCTCTTCTCTATTGTTCCAAGTGTCATTTCTGTTCTGCTCCCTACAGCAACCGTCTCTGTGGTGGGATTGTGATCATTCCTGTGCTCTTTAGAGAATTCACTGTCTTCTTACTTTTTAGTGTGAATGTGAGAGGTTCAGAAGTCTTTATGCTAGTGGCAGTCAGAAATCAAATGTATACATTGGAAAGTTATGTTTGAATACCCTGAAAATGGTTTGTTGGAAGTCAGTTGTTTGTGAATTCATACTGGTTTTGATATTTTCAATCACTGAGTGTTTTCCTTGACACTGCGGCACCTATCATGCCCAGCCTTCCCAGGGTACAGAGCAGGAGAAAATGGATTATGCCCTCAACAATAAAAGGCGAGTCATTCGTCTGGTTCTGCAGTGGGCTGCTTTATATGGAGATTTACTACAAGAAGATGAAGCAGCAATGGCCTTTTTGGAGGTATAAAGGAATCGTTGTATCATTGTACTGAAAAGTACCTACCAAGCAAGATAAGCTGAAAGCCTGTTCCCAGTCTGTAGAATTCTGTTATGAACTAAAGAGAAGTAGGTCATTTCAAAGTGCAAACTCATAACTCTGTTTTCTCGGTTTTAGCTGCAGACAGTATACTACAAGCACTATAACAGTGCTTGAACCATTGTCAGCCTCTGGACCTCTGAAAATATCTGCTGGAGTTGCAGACCCTTTTCAAAGCACTGCATGGGTAGATTGCTTTATAGCAATATATGAATTTGCTTTTTAAAATATTTTCTTGTGAATAGTTCAGAGGCTCTACAGGTTGAACTGGGGGGCTGTTTATGCCTGCCTGAGGTGTGCCAGGAAGGAGCTGGAGGGTTCTCACTCTACAAAACAAAAAATCCTTTCCATTTGAATTAAAGCTGTACTGCAGCTATTGGACCTTAGATCTTTGTCTTCAGAACTCTTCTGATCCCTTAAAATCATTTAATACCTCAGACATTGGTTGTAAGGTCTTTGTGGTAGGTGCCATATCCTTGTATTTCTGAGATAAGATGCACTGCCAATCTCATGTTAAGTCATTGTGATTGCCATTATTATTATTATATATTGTGTTTATGGAACACAATCCCATATATTACTGGTTGAATGGAAGTTCTTGCCACAAAGAGCTTAAAACCGAATCTAAGTTAAGAGCAGAGGGGATTAGAGAGGGGCCTTAAGTACAACAGACATGTAGCAAGCCCACAGGGGAAAGCTTTTAATAATAGACAGACTTTGGAGACAGACATAACATCTTTCATTAGTCCAGAAGTTAAAGAACTAGTTGCAAGCACATAGATCCTTCTTTGGGTCAGTTTTATGTAGGTGCGGCAAGAAGAGGTTTGAGTAGGGTTTAAAAGAGGGTAATATTGTAGAGGACTGGAGTAGCTGAGAGTCAACAACTCAGTAGCAAATGAACCACTAAGGACTACAACAGCAGTGGGTAGAAAAAACTATCATGCCAGATTATTTGTGAATTTTATAGTCTTTGTTCTTGATAATCTGAAAATGCAGTTTTTGCACAAGCAGTCAGTGGTTACACAGTGAGCCCCATCAGGCTTCCCTTCTGCATGTGTAACTCTTGCTCTAGATCAGCTGGATATAAACAAGTAGAAGTAATAGAGGGTTGGGCCCAGCATGTGTTCCTCTATGCAGATTATCATTCTTTATAATCATTAAGCTATCAGATGTCAACTCATAATCCTCTATCCTGAGTACTGCTCATTTACCCGTATAGTTAAAGACTATTCTGTATCATTTACAGGAATTTTATGTATCTGTATCAGATGATACTAGAATGATTGCAGCACTAAAGGAGCAACTTCCAGAGCTAGAGAAAATTGTAAAGCAAGTGTAAGCACAGTTTTTGCTTCTTTCCTCCCCCCTCCCTGTTTCTCAGTAAATAGATGAAGAAAATTTATTGCTTATATCTATTAAAAATCCATTCTATGAATGGCACTCAGTCATACAAGATTGACTGTTTCCATGCAAACTTCTTTGGATTAATTTCTATGGCCCTCTCTTTCCACATCATTCTTGCAAACACCAAACTCTCATTAAAAGGTTGACAGAAGAAATAAGAAATTATGTACACACAATTGAAACTAAACGGGATGCTTATTTCATGCTTACATGGACTTTGTATAGTAATTTCCCTGCCTTGGTCATAGATTAACTGTGGTATCATCTAGTCTTTTTGTATATGCAAACATGAATATGTTGATATTGTAGTTTGACAGGTGGTCCATGTTCTGTAGGTGATTTTGTACACAAAATCTTCCAGGTAATATTTAATTATATATTCTATGCTTTACCTTTTTATAGTTCTGAAGAACCTAAAGCACCACAAAAGAAGGTAAGATAATTTTTTGTCCATCTTCTAAAGTAAAAGCTTTAGCATAACAAATCCATAAGCATCTTCTCTTTAGTAATCATGGGTATACCAAAACAACACATTGAGAAATAGCTTTTAACAATGTGTCAAATTTTGCATGGCTACTCTTTTCCCTGCCATTGATAAGAGATCTATTGTAGTTCATGTCTACCCCATAATGTTTCTTTTTGCATTAATGTGAATCCTGATGATTCATTTTCAGCACAAAGTTCTTCTGCAGCTGTTCAACACAAGTGATGACAGAACACAGAAACGCCAGCCTATCAGGGGCAGTGACGAAGGTGAGTTCCTTCTTTGCAAAGTTTTCTTGAGCCACCGAGATTTGCAGTAAATTTGTCTCTTTCAAAAAAATGGTCTAAAAATAAACAAAAGTACCTACAGTTTTGAAGCTGGCCTGAAGCAAACTGCTTTTCCTAGCCCAACATTCTCCATCATTGATGTGAAGTGCTTCTGGTCTTTTCCCTTAGTTACTTGTGCTATCAAACACTTTGCTTACTCAGAGGAAGATGTAAAAACCTTTAAAAAAGGGAATGAACAAAACAGATAAGAACCAGTACAGACAGTGTCCATGCAGGTAATGACAGTGCACTAAATAGTGGGTGCTGAAGGTCATGTTTGAGCCTCTGTCTCCCCTACGTAGTTTGAGCTAACATGTATAGCTGTTCCTCTGCAAGATAGGAGTGGAGCAGATAATCACGCCGTGGATCTCTGTCCTGTGGCACACAGCCTAGAAAACAAAATCTGCTTGTTTGCTGTATTGCTATTGTTTGATTCTCTGAAGAGATTAAGGTAAAATTTACAGCAGTGTATCAGAATATCATTTTCAGTTGTACTGGCTCTTCATATTGTCCTTTACTTCAGGCAGGTTAAAAATCCTGAGCTCTGATGATGAGATTTGTTCATTGTAAACAAAGATACATGCCCCTTAAAACTCATAAACCTGAGGATTTCATTGCAGCTGCTAGGGCCAGTCTCTCAATGGTTGTTTTGGTGCATCTTCATCACAGAAAATAGCTTCTGCTTGAAGGTGTTTGATATTAAAGGATAGCCCTTGCTAGTGAACAACAGTAAAAATAAGGGAACAAAATGCAAGGTCATATAGCTGAGAAAGCTGGTGGCATAAATCAAACCAACAGAAGAGCCATTTCAAAGTAACTGCATATGAATAGCAGACTTCCTGCCAGGCATGCAGCTTCTGTTGTCCGTAGCAGTGTTTCTTCTAGGTCTATAAAGAGCAAAACAGTTGCTACTGTCAGGGAAGTACTACTTCTTGTGTCTGTGTGGATAGGCAGTAACTGCCCCCTTCATATGGGTGCACCTTTCTTATTTGTAGGGCAGGCAGCACACTGAACATAGAAAATCCATGGACAGCTATAACCCCAGGGGCTGCTTGGCTTGGCTTGACAGCTGAGCTGAAGGAGTGTTTTGCTAACTCCTTCTGTCTTAAATTCATGTCACTTTGGGCTGCCTTGCTTTTTGCAGGCTAATATACTATCATATTGATTTCTAGGCAGCCAGAGGCCTGGGTTCATGTATTACTCTGTGAGCCAATTTGTACTGTACACTCAAGTGTATTCATATTATTAGGGTATTTTTCTTCATCGTCTACAATAGTCTTGATTCAGCAATTATATACTCGCTTGTAAAAAACAGGTTGCAGTACAGTTTGATTTAAGTTCTGATTGTAACCAAAACTATTTTCAAATCTATTTTGTAAATATGAAAATTATTTTCCTGTAATTAAGAGAGTTTGCAGCCAGTTTTCCTGACTTTTGAAAAGAAGTGTTGATTTAAAATATTATAATGTCTGGAACATAGCAAAGTGCCGGATTAAATTGGCATCCATAAATAATGTAGCAATACTGAAACACTAGTACTTTGTGGTTTACTAAAAGCTCTGGGAAATCAGAGATTTCTGTACTAGAAATTGTAGAACATCTGAGGAATGGGAGGCTATCAAAACTGTAGTGATTTATTGTTGCTTTATTTGTTTCATTTGTGAGGAGTGGTTACTGAAGTGAAAGTAATTTGTACAGTAAAGTCTCTGTGGTTGTTACATGTGGCATACACAGCACAATCTTTTTTTCTGTAGTTCTGTTTAAGGTGTACTGCATAGACCAAACCTATACCACTATCCGGGTGCCAGTGTCTTCCTCTGTGAAGGAAGTGATCAGCGCAGTAGCAGATAAGCTGGGTTCTGGAGAAGGCCTCATCATAGTAAAGATGAGCTCAGGAGGAGGTACTGTATTTGCATCATCTTAAACGCTTCTCACTTACAGTGAAGCAGAATGTTGGGTGGGATTGAAAGACTAATTCAGTCAAGGCTTTTATATCCATGTGCATGTTTGGCTGGTACACAAGTTCTGTCTTAGAGGAAAGTCCTTTTCCTACTGCAGGCGCAGACTGGAGCTCACATGGGAGACAGGAGAAATAGAGAAGCTTGTATATCTGCATGTTACAGAGCAGAGCTACCCCAAATTTCCTTCACTGTAAGACTTGTAAGAGTTTTTTAACAACAGAAATAGGAGGTAAGCATGGATAATGTAAGGCTAGACTTATGAATCAGCAATAGCAGAAAACAACTGCAGTACAGACGTTCCAGTAGTGGTCACTACCATTCTGGCCATTCTGTCCATGCAAACCACTACTGAGCAACTTTGTGCCAAGCCCACTGACCTACTGGTAAAGGATCAGGAGTCAGCCCCCTACTATAGGCTGTGGAAATGGGAGAGTAACTGCAAGGTGAATTCTGCTGGAGAACTGGTGTTGCTGAAGTGCACTGGTAGAGTCTGACTGTGTGGACACACACAGAGCTAATGAGAGCTGTGCTGGAAGGCATTTCTGCAAACAGTGATGCCTGCCAAAACCAGCTCACTTCCTGAGAATTGACACCAGGCGGCTCTACTTTTTGCAGTTGCAGCAATTTTTTATTGTCAGATTTGCTGACAGACAGCGCATGCTGGAAGAGACTGTTTTGTAAGTTACTTCATTATCTTTTCTTTACCTGTGATGTGATGCTCTTTTTGAACTGCTGTAATGAGATTTGAATACAGTTGCATTTCATCACCTCCTTATGCAGTTACTGTCTTCCAAGGCAATTTCTATTAAGAACAGCTCTCCAAATGCTTACAGCTCTGAGAAGAATGGAGTCCCAAATTATGGCTGAATTTTTGCAGGTAGTTTCTAGAGAAGGCAGCACAGGTTCTTGACCTGTCTGTAGAGTTTGGGGCTGGGATTCTAGTCCTGTATGCCAGTTCTGTAGGAGACTGGTTTGGGCTAGCTTGTCACATTTTGTCAATAAAGAAGACCTTGTTGTCATCTATTTTGTATCCTGGACATTGGTTTATTGTGCAAAATTTGTTCCCAGAAGGGTGATCTGTGCAGCTGTTGGATCGGTCCTGCTGTAAATTCTACATATATATAATAATAAACAATCTTTTGTTTCATGTTTACAGAAAAGGTTGTGCTCAAACCTCATGATGTTTCAGTGTTTACAACTCTCAGTGTTAATGGACGGCTGTTTGCTTGCCCACGTGATCAGTTCGATTCATTGGTATGTATGTATGCAGTTCTCAGAAAGTTCAATTCTTCAGTTTATTTGAACGTTTGGCCCTTTTTGCATTATCAATGCTTTAGGTAAAAACTAGTGGAAACATTCACAACAAAGGGCTTGTCATAGTGCTATGGGATGAGCCCTGAAATTAAAAAGAGGTAATGTTATAATTTCCTAAACTAGAGCAGAAATCCATCTGATCCACATGACAGCACTTGATCCCAGTATTCTCTGTGTCACACTGAGCATCTACGAAGAGCTGAATATTGTCACTAAGACATGCAGTAACTCCTGATTACGGAATTATCTCCTCAAGGCCACAGGGATATATTCTTGAAGATAGATGTTAGAAATTAAAGCATTCTGGAGACTTGATTCCAACAGTAAACTCCTTAAAATCTTTTATTTCTCAGGCCCACAAAATACTTTGTCAAAATCTCAGATGATTCTAAGTAGAATCACAGAAAATATTCCTAGTAGAAAGTCTGTTTTTTCTTAAGTAGAATTGTTCATAAGTACTTAGAGTTCATGCAGTAATTCTAACGATCTCCATGGGGTCTGCTTTTATAGAATTTGATTTGACTGTACTTTTTGTTCCTTTTATTTCATTAAAAACAAATGTCATTGCGAAGTCATGTCAGCATGAACTCTATTACTCCTAGCCTTGCTTCAGCCTCCTGTATGCTTTTAACAAGCCACTTAGTATGTATGCCTGATTTCTTTTATAGATATGGTAAAATCTATGCTTTGCTGCTGCTTTCAATTTAGTAACCAGGGAATGCACATCCAGCATACTGCAGTTCCATGCAGAGATACCTCTTGTTCAGTTTATTAAATTCTGGTGTTCCCTTAAGGTTAATTAATCCTGCCAAGTAGATACCCTCATGGGGCATGCTACTCTAAAGCAGGGGTGTTGTGTCAGTACAACTATGCTGGGTACTTTTATATGGCTCTGCATTGTCTGTGTAGACATACCTTTGGCAGCAAATTGTCATGACTTCTGTGCCTTTTCCCCTGTGCTATTTACCATGGATCAAGTACTCGAAATGCTACAGGGAGCTCTAAGATACAGGGCTGCAATGTGCTAGTTTTCATCAACTGGACTGACTTCAGTAGGAATTAGGGAGGAACACTCAGCACCTTTAAAAAGGTTCTCAGCATGTGTAACACAATACATGCCCTTATTAGCTGCATTTTTTCAGAGGTATAAACAAATTGAATAATGTTACAACCTTACCTCCCTCCCAGTTTACTCCTTTCACATTCCAGTTTCTGGCTGCTGCCTGTGCATGTACATTTATTCACAGTACACTTGGCAATTCCCATGTGAAAATTGTTCTGGGTTAGATGAATTTTCAAATATGCAATGAGTTTACATCTAAGTTCTTCTTTCCTAGCCTTGGAAAATATGTGTTTGTTATGGTAACGGCTATGTTGTGTTTGTCTCCAAATAGGGGAAAAAAGCCTTCTTTCAGTCTATGGGCAATTCTCTTTCCACAGATTTCCACAAATTAGGATTTTCTACACAAAACTGCTGTAGTTTTAATTCATACTCTGTCTTAAACTAAAGCAATTTTGTGTTTGTGCGAATTCCAATTCAGAGGAATCTGCAGGCTGTTATAAGATTGATGGCTGTCCTGATTTTTTTCGGATAATACTGTGCTTATATACACTATTTTTTTTTTAATTTTAGATGGGGCTTTAAAGGTAATAATGCCTGTGGTTTAGTTTAATAATTTTTAATTAGTTTGTATTATGGTGATATTTGAAAGACAAGTTTTCCCTAGAGTACAAAGAAAGAACTCATACAGAAGTAAAGCTCCTACTACAGTCTGTTATTGAAAAAGTGATTTGATGTATTAATCCAGTCAGTCCTTTTTCTATTTGTAATATAATATCCTTATATAAAAGGGGATTAATTTAGTAAGCTCATTTTCGATATTGCAGTATGTAAATATGGTCTGTTAATCTTGCCGACTCTGTTGAGTTTGTACTCAGAAAGGAGCCTGTTGACAATTGCCTGCTCTCTAATTATCTAACAAAGACCCTATGAGAAATTGAGAAATTTGTAAGTGAACTCTACTGCCCTCTCCTGGAAACAATACAATTTTTAAAACGTGGGTTCACAGGAAGCTTTACTGATGTAACACATTTGAATTTGCAAGAGTTGTTCGTTAGTATTTTAGCAGCGCTGGTTCAAACACTTTGACCCTAATATATACAACAGACTACTTCAAATCTGACTTGATCTCAAACCATGTTTAAATCTCTCTTTAATATAAGATTTATAATTGTAGATCACATTTCATTTATATGGTAGTATGGAAGTGTCTTTCAAAATTGTTTTCTACTTGAATGATTTAAAGGATTCTTTCTCATAAGACTGTGTGCATATAATTTTAATTAGCATAGCCAGGAGTTTTGCAATCACAAATAGTGCATCCCTGTATTGTCAAAGACAAAAGTATGAGGCGTATTTTATAAATGATCAGAAGATCTTGCAATCACTGCAGATTTCTGAAGTATGGCAGATGTAATAATTCTCATCATTAGAATCAGTAATTTACAAAAGTATTTGGCTTATGCTTTGTGGCCTAGTTATATGTGTATGTGAAAAAGGAAACTGATAACAAAAGCTTTGCGGAAAGACCTGCACTCCTAAACAAACAGACATGCTTTAGTTAGCACAACATGTATTGAAGTATTTATTTCTGGCTTCAAATTTTAGAACAATGCTAAAAATAACACACTGAGAACAGTCTGTTTTATTTCTTTACAGTGCCTCTGAAGAGCTTTCAGTATTTTCCTGAATATCCTGTGCATAGTGGTTACTGATTTTGCACAGGGCTTCTCATCTCCTAATGCCAGCCTGTGGTTAAAAGCAAATTTCAGTTTTACTATTAGAAACATGCTTAGGGAAGTGGTCACACTGAAAAACATAATCAGAAACATTATGGAAGAAAAGCACCGATTGTGCAATTTAGTATTTCTAAAATATTTTTCTACCATTTTTCCATTTGTAGGCACCATTACCAGAACAAGAAGGACCATCTACTGGTACAGTGGGAACATTCGAACTGATGAGCTCCAAAGACTTAGCACATCAGATGACAATTTATGACTGGGAGCTCTTCAACTGTGTGCATGAGGTATGAGGATCTATCTATTCAGCAGACTAGAATCTGTTAGAAAATGTTTAGCTGTACATTTTAGGTTTGTGCATTATTTGCAAAACTTTCTCTAAGCTTCATTTTCAAAAATAGTACAATAAAGCCACATACAAGTTTTGAAAGTATAATGCATTCTTAATTTTATAGGCAAAATGTAAAAATAAAGTTAAACTTCTCCTGAACATGTGCTGCTTATTGAATTACTTTTGTATGTTTTAAGCTATTAAGTTATTTATACATAGTCTGTGGTTATGCTTTTAGTATGCCTCAGGTATTGTCTACTGGATTTGCAACCTGAATCTTTGTGATCTGTACAGCAATAAACATAAAGTGCAGAGCGGGTTTCAGGCTAGATACTTACTTGGTTATTCTTAGCCTCTTTCCTCTGTCCAAAAGATGAGATTTCTAAAAAAAAAATCCCAAACTGTTTTCTTTTTCCTAGCTGGAATTGATCTATCACACTTTTGGAAGGCACAATTTTAAAAAGACCACAGCAAATCTGGACTTGTTTTTAAGAAGATTTAATGAAATTCAGTTCTGGGTGGTCACTGAGATTTGTCTTTGTTCTCAACTCAGCAAGCGTGTTCAGCTGTTAAAGAAGTATATTAAGATAGCAGCCCAGTAAGTATACAATCATCTGTGAGCTGGAAATGAGGTTCAGTATAATCAATTTGTTGTTATTTTTCTTTTTTATTTTCAGACAGCCACACACAGTAGAGGTTAAAATGTTCTCTATTTGGTAATTCGTTCCATTTCCTTATAGGACTGTACAGAACCTTGTTAATATGTATTCTTCTTTCCTGTCTTACTCTCCATTGCTCCTTGATCTGTGATCTCTTAGGGCCAAGTTTTCACATAAAATTTGTGAGTAAATATATTTCCGTTCATTAGGAGAATCCTTCATTTACCCTTAGATGCATTAGCAAATATTAATATGCAAATCAGTAAATATTAACAAAACTGAGCCTTAATTTTCCTGAGAACAAAAGTATTTCTGGTGCTGTTCAGGAAAGCCGTTCTCAAAATTGCCCCGGGGGGGAAAAACAGGAGGGGTGAGCAAAGAGAAGTAGTATGGAGATGACAAGGCTCATGTTACCTTCAGTCTGTTTGGTGTATTTTTCTAATACTTTTGTTTAAAAATGCAACACCGAAATGTCCTTTTTTGTTACTAACTGCTGGGTCTGATGTTTAATAGCAGGCAATTCTTGCTGTCTTCTTTTATTCATATTAAAACTTAAACTCTTTGGAGCCTTCATGCCAAAGATGTCAGCCTTGACTCCTTATCACTGAACTCAAGGGCAAGGTTGAGGCTGACTTCACAGGGAGCAGGGGCATGCCCCTGCCCTGCATAGCTACAGTTTTTTATCACTGTTACCCTCTTCCTTCCTTTCCAGTTCGTGGTGTATTTATCATATTCATTGCTGTCTGAACATTTTGCTGAGGTGTGCAGTGAGAAACTGTCTGTTCAAGTGTTTGTCTATGACTTTGGGAATTGTGACTAGAGGCCTTTAGGCAGTCTTACCAAAAAAGAAGTTATTACTTGCAGTTAAACCATGAGTTTTAACTTTTTTGCATTGTTAAATGTAGTTGTGTGAAGGAAGAGATTACTATTACAGCTGTGATGCCACCCTCCTTCCAATTAATAATGCCACATAGCTGAAATCAGTGTTCATATCGAAACTCTGCATCAGCATGCCTCCCTCCTCGGGGAAGGGCTCCGTTCTGCAAAGTACCAACTTCCTTCTGGGAACTGCTTTGGGCCCTCCAGTCGGATTACGGTTGGTCGAAGACAAAGATTTTCAAAATCTAGTGGTGGGTGTGCAGGATGAGGTTTATATTCAGAACAGAGGACAGAATTTACCTCTTTAGTTTCTAAAAATATATATACCGCATATTCCATTATCTCATTCTGCAGAGCAAAACTGGGAAGCAAGCTGCCGGTCTGGCGGGCTGTGTCCAGGAGAGGGCAGTGGCATCCACACACAGACACGTCGGGGTCTTTTCTAAACTCAGAGGCATGAAATGGGAAAATGTTGAAATGTGGTAAATTAAGATACAATAGTAATTTCCATAAACACTTGAAATCAAGTATCCTAAAAATTACAGTTAAATATCTTCTTAATAAACCTCCCTAGCCTGTGGGTTCCTCAGTGTCATGGGTTTAATCCTATGCTATTTACAACAGCTTGACAACCTCCTGTTTACTTCCATGTTTCTGGTATCACTACAATGCTAAAAATAAATAGCTAAAAGCGGTCTGCTCTGCTGAGTCCTCTTTGTCTCCTAAAAGCAGAGAAATCCAAAACACATGATTTTCCTCCGTACAAACTAAGCGGGCAGGTTTAATTGCAGCCGCTGGAAAGGGACTGGGAAGTTTTGCCAGGCTGCTGCCCTCTGTGCAGTGCTGCCATGGTAACAGGTGCTACAGCATGCGGTAAAACAAACACAAAGTGCACCGAAGTTAGAGGGGAGAAAAAGCCAAGGAATTGGATCAAAAGATGTGGGCCCAGGCCTTGAAGCAGTACCTTTGAGGAAGTTTTCCTTGTGAAGATCCTTGAGACCTAATGAGAACTTTACCCTACCTAGAAGTGCTAGACTCATTAGAAAAGTGTTCGGGGAGAACAGCTCAGTGCTGCGCTATTAATCTTAGGCATGACTGGTGGTAACGAGATGCCTTGCACGTACCAATTTTCAAAGATAACTGAGAACCCTGTTTCAATTCTGCGACAGGGGGCTCAGACACCATTGCAGAAGGCACATCATTTTGTGTCTGCCACCCCACGCACCCTGTGATGTGTGCTCCCTGTCTGTGTGGGCAAGCGCAAGGCCGAGTGCTGGCTCCAAGTGCTGTGCACATGTGCTTTCAGTTCCAGGAGCCGTTGTTGCCTCTGCATCTGCTGGGAAAGGATGTAGAGGTTACCAGGTTCATCTCTTTTCTCCTGCCATTGTAGGATTAAACTTTCAAACAAAGGGGAGAAGCAAACTGTATTTCCTACAGTGAGTTCTTCCCTTACTAATTGTATTAGAAAGGCCTTCTAGGATGTAGTTGCACATACTCTTATGGATATCCACAAACCCAGTTTGTATATATGTTGGAGACAAGAGTGTGTGCCTATGTGTGTGTTCACAACTCATACTAACAGGAAGATTTTTCCAATACTGTCCATTCTGGGAGGCAGAGTGACCTCTGCTCCGAGCACACTGGTGCTTTGGAGGACCCACTTTCCGACTTTTCACATGCAGCATATATGCAGTGGAGCCATGCAGCACTATTTCTACTGCCTTACGGTGGTCTTCCCTCTAGGGAAGAGGTTATCACTGACAGCCTATCCTGGCTGCTTTTCATGCTTATCCACTCCCTGGCCTGCTGTAGTCAGAGTAAGTTGGGGTGGCTTTAGCATTTCAGCTTATCTTTGCTAACCTTGCTCACTGTCCTTAATCTGATGTGGGAGAATTTGTATAAGCAGCTCTGCCAGAAGATCTGAGGGGGCAGCAGTCTCCAACAGACAGACCATCTGATAGGAGAGATCGTTTTTTCATGCACTCACACAGTGAAGACACGAGTGAGGCCCAGATCTAAAGGACTCACCCACTCAGTACATCGAGTCTGGTGAAATGGAGGGACAGAAAGAACAGAATAACAATAGGGTGATGTGGCAGTTATGGACTCGGACAGTAGGATGTGATGATTGCACTAATTTCGTCTGGAACTGAGGATACCTCGGAGGAGCTAAGAGCTTCAGCGATGAATAAAAAAACCTGTCTGAGAATCATAGCTTGAATCTTGTGAAAGTTTTCTTGGTAAGCAGCAAAAGAGGCAGATACTGAGGTCCTGAAATCAGATGTTGGCAAATCAGTTGTGAAAAATAGCAAATTATTTGAAGAACCTAGTGAGACACAGATTTACGAGATACAGGCTTTTTTCTCTCTCTTCCCTTCCCATTGAGGCAATGAGCCACCTGATGCAGTCCCAGCTGAGCAGCTGTGTGGGCTGTTCCTGTCAGATTGCGTCTACTCCTGCATTGGATCTTCCATAATACTCAGTTACATGTTCCAGTTTTTCCCTGACTGATAACAAAAGTTCTTCTTTGCATTAGGGTTGTAGTGTGACCTAGAGCTCCTAGTGCCCAGGACCTCTTCAATGATGCTCGTAACAAATGGCAGTTCTTTGCCTGAAACATATTAAAGAGTTTCAGAATCTACAAGTACTGGTTAGAAATCATATACAGCAAGAGACGTCACTGGCACACAGGCATGTCTAGTCAGCTGGTCTTCTACCTTTAAAAAGACTCAGTGCCCCTGTAAACTGCGATGAAGATTATCTAAGGACAGCTTCCAGCATTCAGTAGCTGTTCAGAAGCTGTCAGCAAGTTCTGCAGCAAATGAGGTTGTAAACCAGTTGCTTCCACTGTTTCTGGTATTCTCTGGGACTAAATTGAGCCCAGCTTCAGGACTGTGTTTCTGGGTGGGGAGGAACTTCAAAGACTCCTTTAATGTCCTTGCAGAAGCTGGCATGCAGTGAAGTGGAAGTAGGAGGTCATTTTAGGAGGGAGGGGAAAGGAGCCTCCAGAGTGTGGTGAATTACTCACACATTGGTGAAGTGGTGTGCCACAGGCATGCTGGCCAGGGCTGCCCAAATTCAGTCACATCTATGCTAGATGCCTAGGTTCAGGTCTCTTCAGGATGTCATGTGTACTTCTGCCCTGATACATAAAAATTAAAACCTGGCTCTTTGTGTTTCAGCTGTAAAGAATACAAAAATCTGAATTCCTTTTTCGCTATTATTATGGGACTTAGTAATGTTGCTGTGAGCCGTCTCTCATTAACATGGGAGGTAAGTCTTAGCTAAAATCCAAGTCCAAGAAGTTTGACTGGGATTTATGCTTTTAGTTAGCAAAAACATGACTTGGGCCTTTATTATTGATAACATTAGATCTACTAATTCAGCTCCTGAGCAGAAGCCTTTAGCTAAGGCTGACAATTTTTATTAGTAAGGCAGTGTACCCATAGATGTGTTGAATACTCATAAGCAGTTAAGGAAAGTAACAGCAGCAGCTTCTGTTGATGAGCTAAACTGCCCAACAGAATGAGTTAGCCAGTTAACCTCTTACATCAGCCCATCCTCTGTTTGACTTTACTGATCATTTAGTGAGATTACTGTATAGACACTTCTCTAAAATCCATCCTCTGTTTATACATATTATTTTCTGATCTCCATATGGACTCTGTTGCCCTATTAAAATGTGGGTTTGTCCTAACCAGTTCTGGTTTTCTCTCTGACATGCATTCCCCTGCTTACTATCAGTTTGGTCTTCATTCTCAGAGCTTCCACCGTTTTCTGTGGCTTTGCTCTTTTGTATGTGAGTATATGAAAAGGCTACAATGTCCAGCAGGGTGAGATGGTAAGCACATGTAACCACTAAGAACATACTGGTTGTCAAAAGCAGTGCAGATTTGAATGTACATGTATTTTGTTCATTAGAAATTCAAAATAGCATGACTAAGGTCATTGATGCAACTGTGACCAAAATTTGAACACCTTTTAAAAAGTGCTCTGAAATATGAGATCAGACTAACACATCTGAGAAGACACCAGTCCGATTTTCAAAAGTACATGTTGCAAGTGGTATATACAATCGGTGCTAAAGGCAAAGATTTGCAGAGCAGTTTCTCAAAATAATGACCCTTCATTTGTGGCTCCTGAGGGGAATAGTTGGGAGAGCTGAGACAGTACAGGAGTAGTATGAAGAGAGAACAGGGAATTGAATGTATATACTACATACAGCAATCTGAAATGGGCACAGGGTCTGAGCTGGAGAGGCACAGATGTACGTGTGGGGTATGAACTTGAGCTCAGGGAAATGTTATGACACTCTGGTTCTGTAGGGCAGTTGGTTTATAAAGAGAATCTCTGCAGCTTGATTTTTAGCCAGTTATATATACAGAATATATTTTTTAAAAAAAATCAAGACCTGATTTTTGCTATATTGTCATGCATTTACATTAGTTGCATGCACAAATTAGATATTTGCAGGTGCAAATGTCCAATTATAGCACTTATTTCACAAATACCTAATCTGCATGCATATGCAAACTAGGCACACAGTTGTTCACACACATCATTAAAAATTAGGCCCTTGCTGTGGCACAGGGTAAATATCTTGCTAGGGTACACACTCCAAATGGAGGAAGTATTGCAAAAAATCATTTGTGCACTATAAAGTCTCTATTAATTTTTAATGTTACCCACTGCCAGTAGTAGTCTGATTTAATCAGCAAATATAAAGAAATTTCTTATTAAAACTAGAAAGCTGACATATTCTGAGTGTGCATAAAACATTACTGTGATCTCTGAAATTAATTTATAACATATCTTATACTTTTTATAGTAAAATTATTTAATATGTATAACATAACATGACGAGGAAAGAAAATATTTAGTAAAGCCCATCAACTGACCATGATTTATTTGTGTATGTATTGTGAAAAACTATTTATTAATTTATACCCCAGAAAGCGGTAGAGGCCCTTGGCTGCTGGGCACATAAAGAATTAGAGCAATAGTTGGTGATTCATCAGCATGAACAAAAAAAACTCCTGGAAATGCCCAGGCATGGATTTGAATGTTGCAAGGGCAGTTCATCATAGGTATGAATAATTAAGCTGAGCTACCCCTACGCAAGCTATGTGTAAATTTTATTTTCAGATAGACTGTAATCAGAAATGTCCCGAAACCATTGACTTGAACTTTCACTTACATTCTGAATTCAGTGATTGTGATGTGAGCCAAACAAAAACCTGCATCTAAACATCCAAAAGGAGTAAATTCAAGTTGGGGTTTAAATCAGATTCCAGGTTTCATGGCTGGTCCCGTCTCTATTTATAATCTGGTTGCTAGGAGACATGTTGTATTTTAGATTAGCACATTGTTAGACATATCTGGCAAAAAAGAACACTTTCCTGACTTAGGGCGTTGTAGAAGGAACTAGCATTTACAGTAAAATTACCACACAAATTGGATTTAATTAAGGTTTGCTATTTTTGTTTTTATTAACAGAAACTTCCAAGCAAGTTCAAGAAGATCTATGCAGAGTTTGAAAGCTTAATGGTGAATAGCAATAGATCCCTTATTCTATGCACAATCTGAGCTAATTCAGTTTCTGAGTAACTGATTTGAATTCCTTGATTCAGAACATTTTATATGTCCTTGTTTGACTTTAAGAAGTTTATGATCCCATTTTAGAGCTGCTAAAACAAGTATGTATGACTAATAAATTATACTCTTAGGAACCTACTCTGAGAGAACTTATGTACCACTCAAAATTAATCTGGGAACTCAGAAAAGCTTTATCACATGTTTTCCGATAGTACATATGGGAAATTGTATTTTCCAGCCTGGATCTTTCCAGGCAATACATTTTAGTATTACAACATATGCAAAACTGGATCTGCAGCTGCAAGGAGGGAGGAAAAATGTGTGGTTTCTTTTATGAACAATTTTTTTGTAATCATATCTTACCTTGCTATTTGGCATGAAAAATGTTTGTGTTTAGCAGCTGCATTCTCATCACGTAAGCTGTATGGGAGAATGATAAAAGGTGTCTTAGTTTGCAGATGCACTTTTAGAGCCACAGGAGAAAATAATTATTTTAATAAATTCCATGACATCTAAATGAATGCATACAGTGTGTCAATATATATAATAATACATGTTAGTAATTATTTGATTTCTCTTTTTTTTCTTAAGGATCCATCAAGAAACCATAGGGCCTACAGACTAACTGTAGCTAAATTGGACCCTCCAATAATTCCTTTCATGCCACTACTTATAAAAGGTAAGCTTGGATGTTACCAGAATTCTTAACTTGAAAGCTATTTGTCAAATATTTGAAGAATAAGAATAGCAGCAAGAAAAAGCAAAAATCAGTCTCGGTGTGAGGTGTGATCTTTTTCCATTGTAAAAAGCATGACACAGAGACAAGAAAAACTGCTTTGGTACATCTGAATATCATACCTCAATTTTTCTAGTCTCAGAAATGCTGCAAATTAAAACCTAAATGTTTTACTTCTATAGCTGCTTTGATTTTTGTAAGGGATAGATAAAATGTTCTGCTGTTTTGCATGGCCATGATTCAGTATGTGGCTTTTATTTCTATACAGACATGACGTTTACTCATGAGGGAAACAAGACATTCACTGACAATCTAGTAAACTTCGAAAAAATGGTATGTATGACATATTTGAAATGAAAAATTAAAAACACCTCCCTATTCATCTCTTCAAGAGTAAACTTCTCAACAATGACTTCGAGGGCTAGAGAAAGTGAAGGCAGGACCAAGAGCCAGCAAAAATAGTCTTCATTGTGCACAGCACCTGGGACCTCTGGGTTTCTGGAAAACCTCACAGAGGTGGAGAAGCAATTGCCCACTGAGCCGTGCACAGCCAAAATGTTTCCTAGGAGAGGCAGCAGCAGTGACAGGAAGCAGAGCTGTTAGAGACAATATTTAACAGCCAGTTTGGGACCAAGCTGTGATTTTAACTGCTGTTCCTTCAAACAGGACTGAACTGCCTGAGGCTGGGATAGTTCTTCATTGCTCCTCAGAGAATGAAAGGAGCTTTAATACAGAACGTGCACAACATCTTATTTTCTTCTTTCCTTTAACAAGTGAAAGGAGACTTCTGTGACTTGATTGCTTTCATATTAGGAAGGGGGATCAATGATAAAAGGTTAGATTATGCTCAGATTTGATTTATTTTAAATCCTGCACCTAAGCTCTTATTTCAAACACGGTTGTCAAAAACTGCAGACAGGCAACTTCCTGTGGGAGAAATCTCAACTGAAACTTAAGTTTCTCAGCAGTGAAAAGCAGTTTTCTTGGTTGCTAAGGCTGTGTTCTTAATTGATGTGGTTGATGACACCTACATCTGAGAACCAGGGTTAGCCAAGTCCATCTATGAGCCGCTGCACTGCAAGACCAAACCTGACTTACTGTTTCTGCAGTAAAGCTCCATTCAGCAGCCACGCTAGAGTGTATCTACTCTGGCACCTGTATCTGCTTGTTCTTAGTACTACAGTAACCAGAACCACTCCATGGTCATTTCCTCTGCACTACAGAGGAGCTTGTCTTACCTGCTGAGAACTGATACCGCGGAAGGGAAGAGAGGAGGACTTTCAGCTCCTTAGAAAACTTCACAGAAAAGTCATCACCATTCTAAGTGAATTCTTCCTTAGATTTTAGTCTGTAGCTTCCGGACAGCCTCTGTCCTAGGGTGAAAATACCTCTCCACTAAGCTGAGGCTTTTTTGTGAGCAAATGGTAGTGCTAATGCCTGAGTAAGGGCCTGACCTCACTTCGCAATAATGACATTCTGTAATTGCATACACAGACTGTGGTGCCATCTCCTTCCAAAGGCCTTGAGCCTTCTACCTGCAGAAAAGGACTTTTTCCTGGACTGCTTGTTCTACTTAGATAGATAAATATATTTATTTTAGTATAGATAGTAAATATTTGGGGGAACACAAAGGGATCTCAGACTTGGCTGGAGCACCTCCAAACCAGGAGGGATGGCAGCTGCATTGCTATAGCCATGGCTATGTGGCTGGCTCCATGTTCTCCACCTCAACTTGGCCTACTTACACCTCCTGAGCCAGAAGAGCCAGTACATCCGCAGGCCTCAGAGCTATATGCCTCAGGCTCTTCTTTATGTCTGACTATGTGTAAAAGCCATGACAGGAGGCAGGAGCTCTCCTGTGAGCACTTGCCCATAGACAGAAGTTCAACCTAGGCTTGTCATTTAGAAATGGTTTTGCACCACTCTATACCACTGTTTGGCACTCCCAAGGCCAAGAGTGAATTTTATAGCAGCTTAAACTGATCTATATATAGGCTGCTGCAGGTCTGCCCTTTTCACCCTAGTCTGCATATTGCCTTACTTTCAGAAGTATGTTATATCCAGAGCATGGATTTTCTAGTAGCACCTAAAGATTTTAAATAAAATTTTGTACTGCATGAATGTAGTATCACCCATTTTGATCAGCAGTCTGAGCTTTGAGCATTTCCTTTAGGAAGTGAAAGTGAAGATCAATTAATGTATTTCTGATGCTATATATTTTTCAAAGAATGAGTATAATGTCTCATGTTCCTCCACACAACAGAAAGTGAAACGTTCTCCCTTCTCAGTATTCTAAACCTTTCCTCAGTTAGTGCTCTAGTTAAAAGCTCAGTCTGCTTTTTCTCCAGGCCTTACTACAAGTATATCTTTTGTGTTTTTAATGTTCTTCACTGGCTATTCTGCATGCTTCTATGGTGTTTTTACTGCTTCTCTCAACCCGTAGCTCTTCAAAGCAAGATATTCAGATTCCACCCACATAATTCATTCAAATCCTAACGTGGACCTGGCAGGTTTTAGCTTTTTGCATGTGTCATCAGGTCAAGCAGAGAAGAAAAGCCTACTGTTAAACCTCAGTTGCTACCGCCTACTTGTGTTAAGCTTACAACTGTCACATCCACACATAATTGCCAGATATTAGATAGTGAAGACAAGACCACTCAGCCAGATAACGCATAGATAAATTCAGCTCTCTTTTACATTAAGTATAAACTCCAGGTAAATCTGTGATGTTATTCTGCCATTTTCAGGAGAAAAGCAGAAACCAGATTTCCTCACAGGAATCCTGTCCTGCCATTTGTTGTTTCTGCCTGTTTGTTCTGCTGCATGATGTTCTGTCACAGGCAGATGGAGATACCTCTGAATACCTGCAGGGAGCCACTCTGTTACTGATCTGTCTAAAACATCTTCATTCTTTGGAAAAGTATTTCCCTCGATCCATCCTAACTTTGATGCTTGCTGAAGTTTATGAATAAAAATACCTAGGTAGTTGCCACTGGTGGTGCCATTTACCACTGGAGGAGGTGGGTCCCTCCATCTCTCGTGTAAGCACAGTGATGAAACTGAGAATAGCCTCTGGCATCGTGTCTGCATTCTCACCACTGAGCTCTGATCCCGACAGCTGATGTGCTGCTGACAACTTTATTCCTGTAACTGGCAGCCAAAAGTAGAAGTTTGATCTAGTGGCATCTCTTCAGCTGAAACAGCTTCCTTTATATCTTTTATGTTTTCTGATGTTTCTGTTATTATTTATATTAAACGATGCATCTTAAAACACACAGGACCTGTCAGACAGTATCTGAGCCAGGAGTTCCCCAAGTGCCAGAAACAGCAAGGCCTGGTTTCCTAAATGTTTGTGTTTCATGGCTGCCTGAGCTCTGCTCAGAGCTTTCCACGTGGCTGGGGCATGTGTGGTTTCTTCATGGCTGGGGAATTCTGTGTGAATAGGCTTTTGTCATAACATAGGAACTTGCACTACAGCCTTTTCCCTGAAGGAGACAGGAAAAGAGAGCACTAACATGATCTTTCTCTTGTCCACAGCCATCTATTTCACAGAAGATTGGTAGGAGCTTTCTTACGTTTGAAAACTCTGGGTTCTTTTTTCAAATTTGACAAAATTATCTAGAGAAGAAGGGAAAAACAGACAGATGGTGTTAAACCACATTAGCCTAGGTTTTTTTAGCAAGTCAAGCTAAAAAGGAAAGGGACTGAGTCAATTTTTTCCTGCTGCACTTTTCTATAAATTGATCTTTTTAGAGGTGTAGTGGCAGAACTGTGGTATTGGCAGTAGTGGGGGAACATCACTCTGCAGAGCATTGCTGAGCTTTACCTGCTGCTGCCTTTGTAACTGCTGGCTCCTTCTTCCCCTTCCCCATCTCCTGATCCCCACGGATGCCTCTTATTTGGAGGAGGCAATGAGGAGTGGGAGGGCAGGGACAGCTAGCCAGGGAAGAGAATACCGTGTGTGGTAGAGCCACAGCTATTTGTAAAGAGGGAAGTTTGTAAGCGGACCCATTTGGTTTGTACAAGGTGTGGGCAAACTATATTGAATGTGTCAGAAATAGGTATAGTCTTTGTATTTGCACTGTACTTATGCTCTTTCCTATGCCATTTATTGCATGAAGCAAGGCATGGGGTGGAAGAACATGTTATTTACACTTTTGCCAGTAAGTAGGCAGAATAACTAAATTACTGGTATTAGTACTATAAGCCTTTAGTAAAAGGCTTTGTCTTCAATACCAAACAAGACATGGTTTTAAAGAAGTATTGAAGGTGTTTTACTTATCTCATTGTAAGAAGCTGATGGAGACAAAGTACAAGCTGTTTCCACCACAGTGTTGCTCAGATGTACCTTCTAGTTTGGCATATATTCCATGACCTGCATCTTTTCTCTGCTGGTGAGTTGACAGTAGATGTTAGTTGTAAGTGTTGCTTTAGAAGACCCATCCATGTAAAAACTGAAGACGGCAGTAGACAGCAAATACAATTAGTTTGTGATCTAGAATACACACGTGTCTTTTAGGCCTTTTAATGACCCTCTTTTCAGGTGAAGAAGAGCCCCCAAAGCTGTCAGTATTATTAGTTCCTATAAACTCCTTATGATTTAGCAGATATAGGACAACCTACAACCTGCAGCACAGTCATAACATTCAGTAACATTGCTTTTATAGATATATATTTAGAAAAAAATTAAGAGCCCTTTCCTAGAATTATATATTGCCAGGGAAAGAAGAGAGAGGAAAGTGAGGAAAGTACTGAGCATGACTCTCCTTAAGGACGGGCAATATTTCATACTCTTGACCACTTACTGATTCGCACTTTTTTCAAACCTCAGCTGCATAATCCTGCACTCTGACTGCCAGTACAGAATTTTGTATTCATAGAGAGAGGGAAGATGCAATTATTCAGGAACTTTATCAGTGCCATTTCTCAAATCATCAGACAGCCTGAACAAACATCACTTTCCATGGCACCATTTCCATGTCGCACTACCCAGCATGTCTCAGAAATGACACCTGTGGATGGAGCAGAAGTCACAGAGAGAGCTCTGAAAGTGCTGACCTGCCATGGCAGCATAAGACACTGCCATGATGCTGGCCACTGAGGCTTCTTTTTGTCAAGCCTCTTCACCCTTCAGGTGTGAAATGAGGATTAGAGAATCTGCGCATATTGGTTTTCGGGTTTTGTGGAGATGAACAAAAGGGAATTCACACTCTGATCCTTATGCAAAAAAAGGGCAAACGTTCTTTCATTTTTGGAACATAAGATTATGCAAAAAGTGTGTGACTAAAGCCCTTAGTAGTTTTCTATGGCATATATGAATATTTATAACATTTAGAAACCTGGGTTTGGAATGGATTAGAAGATAATGTGCTGGCCTGCTGCCACTATTCCAGACTGTGTAAAACTTGAAAGGGTATTGTTGTGTATATATAGCATGCTGGTAGTAGCAGTTGCTTGTTATATTATGCAGTTGGTTCTATTTCAGAAAGATCCAAATTTAGGTTTGTATGGCTTTTCAGTAATGGTCTTTCTTAGCGCAGTGAGTAAACAGAGGTTAATTTTTGCAGGCATTAACTAGAGGTAATCCTCTATTTGAAGAAAAACTGTAAGGAGCTGGCAATTAAACTTCCATCTGAACATTTTCTCTGTACATGTTTCTAGTTTTCTTGAATCAAAAGATGACAATCCAACTTATCTACAAGATTCAGGAAGGGAAATTCACTTTCACTTCATATGCTGTTTTTCTGTTCAATTTGCACCTTCCAGAGAAGAGCTCTTTTGAGTTTATATTACACAGGAGCTCTTCAAGGATACATAATGCTCCAGAATCTCCCCATTGGGTTGCAATGCTGTCTTCTGGCCACAGTTTCTCTATTTATTCTGCCTTAACACCCACTTCCTCATTCATTTGTATTTCATTATTGCCAGGATACTTCTGAGTGCACAGATTGCATGAGATTATCCTCACGAACAGGCAAAGTAACTCCTTAAAATGAAGCTTTTCAGCCAACTGAAGGAAGCCAGGCAGTTCAGCCTTTAACCAGAAGTCAGACAAGTTCATTGCCACTTCGGTTTTCCTTGCCTGGAATAGCCCATATAATGAGAAATTTGGAAATAGTGAAAACTTTTTAAAAACCTTGGCCACACACATAATTTGTCTTTCAGTACAATACAGCATTACAGTACTTATTCTGAATGCTATGCTTTTTTTCAGAACAAATTTCCCACATAAAGAAAAAAAAAAGAGTAAAATGATTTCACAGAGCACACTTTTTTTGATAAAGCTAAGTTTTCACCTAAGAAGCTTAATAATCAAACTAATCAGACACTAAGCCTTTGGTCTAGCTCCAAAGATCATTATGAAATGAGGCTTCAAAACCTAAACATTTACAAGTATGAAAAATTAGGGTGTGTATTAATAATCCATCTAGAAAGCACATCAAGTAACGCTGGCCATCTTCATAAAAATGAAGCATCCTTAGCAAAGCTTCCCTTGAAGTTAGATGCTCTTGAAACTTCATCAGGTTGGCTGGTCCAGTTCAACTTTATGGTCTCTCCTTGAAATATTTATTTTAGGGGAGTACTTTTTGAAATTGTATAAATCAAAGCAAACAGCATCCCATAACAGAGCTAAATATGAATCCATAGAGTTATGAAACATTCATGTTTACATGTTCATGTTGTTTTGATTTTCATTTGATTGGGTTAGATTTGAAGAACCAACACTGTAATACACAGTGTGTTCTGTCTCAATCCAGTATTATAATGAGTGCTTATCTTTGAGTATTTAAGAGGTTCCATTGAAGTCAATGGGGCTTATTCACATGCTTAATGCTAAGCACATATGAGAATGTTTGTAAGGTAAGTGCCTTAGAAAATTTGCCTAGTAGTGATGGCTTGAAGATGTGTGAAAATTAACATAGGATAAAAATTATTCTTACTTGAAATCTACTTATTTTCCACTTGTAAATACATATGACTTTAGGAACAATATAAACAGACCCATATCCAAATTCCCTACATCTTTTGGGAACTTGTGTTTTAGAATTAAAATATTTTAGATCAGTTTCAGAATAGCTACATTTAATTTGATTATACAACGTGTAATCCACAAAAACGTAGTACATGATGTATCAGTAGTGTTTCTAATGCTGACAACCAGCCATACCCATTTTTGTATGTGTGACAGTGCATTAAAATGTCTAAGATAATTCAGTATGTGTGTAAGGAATGTTTTACATTGGTGCTTCCCACTTCTGAAATGACAGATTTCACAAAGGTATTTTATTTATAACATCATTTTCATGTAAGATTAAAGTTGTGTATTAATTTTGAGGAGCGTATGCCCTAAGTTTTACTGTTTACTAGTAAGAAATGTATCATTCCATTGTGTGAGGGCTTATGACTAGCTTGTTAATGTCACACAAAATTTCAAGAAGGTATGAAGCAGCCTTGTGAGAGTGTGCAGTGTTGTAATTGTTGGATGTTAAAAGTGTTGGAACAAATGTTAGACTCTGATTAGGAATAGCATTTCCCTCCTCTGCTTTTTCGTAATCTAAGCAAAAGAAACTGAAACAAATGTCCTTATAACAGTGATTGAATCAAACTGTCTAGCTAAGGAATTCAGTTTTACTGCTGAATTTTCAGTTTATTTGACATTATGCAGAACAACTCATTTTGCCCCCGCGCTGGTGGGTGTATACCTGTGTGGTGACACAAGCCAGGTAAAATTTTGCAGTCCAGAACTAAATCTGGAATGTTTTGCTTTTTGACTTACCTTCATTTCTGTTCTTAAAAACTATTGTAAAATAGCATCTGATTTATCAGAGCAAAATGTATTGATTAGTGTTTTCTTATCTAAGTGAGTGAAACGATGGCTTATTTACTGAAGAGCAAGCACAGCCAGAAGGACTGAAGTGACTTCTGCTTTTTTTGTGAATTGCCAGTAGAAGTGTCCACCAAAAGTGAATCCACTTTTCAGGTTGAGTTAGTGTGGTGGGTTGACCCTGGTTGGATGCCAGGTGCCCACCAAAGCCGCTCTATCACTCCCCCTCCTCAGCTGGACGGGGGGGGAGCAAATATAACAAAAGGCTTGTGGGTCAAGATAAGGACAGTTTAATAAAGTGATAGCAAAGGTTGCGCGCGCGAAAGCAAAGAAAAACAAAATGTTATTCCTACTTCCCATCAGCAGGCGATGTCTAGCCACTTCTCGGGAAGCAGGGCTTCAGTACGCGTAGTGGTTGCTCCGGAAGACAAAATGCCCCCCCCCTTCCGTCTCCCTTTACTTAGCTTTTATATCTGAGCTGACGTCATATGGTATGGAATATCTGTTTGGTTGGTTTAGGTCAGCTGTCCTGGTTATGTCCCCTCCCAAGATCTTGCCCTGCCCCAGCCTGCCATTGGGGGGGGGCAAAAATGTTGGAGAGACAGCCTTGATGCTGTGCCAGCATTGCTCAGCTGTAGCCAAAACACTGGTGTGCTATCAACACCTTTCTAGCTACTGATGCAGAGCACAGTGCTATGAGGGCTGCTATGGGGAGTATTAACTCCATCTCAGCCAGACCCAATACAGTTAGATACGCTTGTGCAAGCTAACACAGTCTAACGGATCTGTTTGATGAAACTTGCCTGCAGGGCCACAGTTCTAACTGTGGCCTTCTCACCTGTGAATTGAGCATACTTCCAGAGGGCATCAGTGAACATACACTGTCACATGCTCATTTTATACTGTCATTTTCCAGGAGGGCTGCATTTTAAACTCAAAACTCAAACAAAAGGTGAAACCTCTTTAATTGCTGAGTATGTTCTAGAAATGGCCTTGCTGTTAGCAACTGATGGCCTTAAAATTAATGTATACATACTCCAAGGTGTTCTACATGATATTCCTTTTACTTTTTAATGTGCAAAGGTGGTATCAAAGAAATGCACATTGAAGGGGCTGATTTTTGTTTTTAGTTAAGGCCTTTTACAGCATCCAAGCAAGGGAAGGTGTTCTTTGAGCACATGTAAATTACACTCATGCTCATTTAAAGCCTGTGTAAATGCAAATCACACTCTGCATATGAGGATATCAGCATTAAAATTATATTTTCATTCATATGACTGCTTTTATTGGCATATGTCTTCACATTCAGGCACAGTTAGGTGCTTCGTTTAAATGATGATGAAATACAGTGCTTGTTCTCTGATTGCATCCCATCTCTTCTTTCCAGCGCATGATTGCCAACACTGTCAGGACGGTGAAATTCTGTCGAAGCCAATCTTTCAGTAAGTGTATTACAACATCTGCACAGTCAGCATTACCATCAGTAGCTACAGTAATTACAATTAATTCCATGTGTACCAGAATTCAAAAGCCTGGTTTCCAGTGATTCTTCCATGTTTGGATCCTCCGATGTTTCACAGGGTGAAATATCCTTCAGGAAGCTCTTAGAAGCCCCTTCTCCTCCATTTCTTTTCCAAGCATGTGAAGGAGCTAAATATCTGTGAGGTCTCTACACATCTGTCAAACTAGAATTGGTTGAAATTAGCCACTGGGTTCAGAAGTGGTTGAAATAAGGCTAGCAGACAGCAGCACACAGATAAATGCAAGATACTTGCTTGGATAAACCCTGTTTTTATAGGAAACCAGGCCGGAAACATGACGTTTATAAATGACATAACTGCATAAGGTGGTGAACTTAAAACCTGTTTGTCAGTATAATTACCAGAATTCACCTGAGGCCACGTAAGATGACAGAGCTGTATGATCAAACAGGCTTGCTCTGTGGGTCTTATACTGTCTGGGTGCACTGTCAGTCCCAGTCACAGTGGCATTTCCTCAGCACTTCATTCATTTTGCCTCACAGCAGCCTTCCTCTTTCTCAAAGAACAGAATAAATAATATAAAACAATATATTTTTATAAAAATAGTTTCTTTCCATCTGGGTCAAAGCTTAACTCTAGAAGATAAAGGTTAAGGGAGCTTTTTTTTTTTTCTCCCACCATCAAGGTTTTTCTGGCTATGATCTTTTAATTTTAACCTAATAAGCACTAGTGAGACGTCCACATATTTAGAAATGGAAGTGGATTTTCACTATGCTTGATATAACAAAATGCCGGTATATAGATGTACCATATCTAAGTCCCATGCTTTTTCTGTGTGTGTATGTGTATTTATATATAGTAGATGCTTCAGTATCTTTCTTTTAGAGAAGTTTAAGTTACCTAACACATAATTCATTAAAATGCAAGCTGTTCACTGTGAGGCTGAAGATACTCAGATTTTAACTCAGTGGTACTTAATAATTGTTGTTGGAGGAGGTACAATGTGGTTATGTTAAGTAATGTAAACAGGTAGTAAATTTTGAGGCTTGAAGGGGGCAGCCACTAAGCACTACAGTGTTACAAATATTTAATACTGAGCTAGAAATGGGAATATTTCATGAAAGGAGGCTTAAAATAATTATATAGTTTTGAATCTGTGTGAAAGCTGCTGTTCAAAAGCAGATGGGCAGCTTTAATTCATACTAGTTAGCTATATAATTTATATAATTTATAGCTATTGACTGGTAAGGTGATGTATAAAACTGTAACCAAGGGCCATCAATTTGAGCAAATGTAGCCAAGGATATCTGAGAGAAAAAGTTAATTTGTGAGGGTAGTAACCAGAAAGACTATCAGATACGGAGGAAAGGTTTCAAAGAGAGCGATTTCTAAATATTTTCTTTTTAACTCACCAGGATCTGGTGTTTCCTGTGACAGCTTGTAAAGAGTTATGCATTCTGTTCAGGCATTTGTTCATTTAAGTGTATCAATCCTACATCATTTCTCTTTCACCAGATCCTGACGCAGCCCTAACTAATAAGAACCATCAGGATGTTCGGAGCTATGTGCGGCAATTAAATGTGATTGACAACCAGAGAACTTTATCACAGATGTCTCACCGACTAGAACCGCGTCGAGCATAAACATTTGAAGCAATGATGAGAAATGATCTTTTATCCTGTCAAGGTCACTTGTTAAGAACTTCACTTTCTCTGCTACCGCACTGCCACTACAAAAATAAGCAAAAACATATTCTAAGGTCTTAGGCAACGCACAATGTATACCAGCCTGTCAGAGAACTTTGGCTGAGGAAGAATTTATGCACTGTAGTTGTACGGGTGGCCATGTTGTGAGCTGTTAATTCATCTTAAAGTGTAATAAATGATTTCTAATAAAAAAGGATAAAAAAGGATAAAAAAAGGCAAAAGATAGAATAGTTAGTTAGTGAAAAATACACAAAAGCTTCTAACAATCCTAAGGAAGGCAGTGTTTTTCTCCCTAATTAAAAATCTGTATTTTAAGATTTATTCAGGTCAGGACCAAAACTGATCATCAGTTTAGCTTGCCCAGCTACTGTTGACCTCAGTAGAAGATGTATGTGAGCATCTGATGAAAGAATGTAGGTTCAGGAGACGTCCAAGGTATAGTTCTATTCAGAGAAGACTTACAAATATTTCCATGTGAAATACAACAGATACTAAGAAAAATTTCTAATCTTAATCATACTGTCTACTACTGCAAGCAGTGTGGCCATTTCAGAAAACTGACAGGACTGAAAATATTTTGAATGATAAATAGATTAATCTGTGTTTACATTTTACTTCTTTTTTTAAACTACCAATCAGGTTTTTACAAAATTCCATTATGGTAGTAACGTTGTCAACATCAATAGCATAAAGGTAGCAAAGGACTGGATCAAAAAGAGCACAATATGCACAAATGGATTTCAAAAGAATAATTTCCTGACATTAAAACCTTAAACTTCAGCTATAATTAATTGTGGCTGGTTAACACATATTTTCTGGTCTTAAGCATTTACAAATATCTTAATTTTCAGCCAATTGTTTTGCACTTTCAATAGACTGTAAATAAATGTTAATTCATTGTGTTCTAGGATATTTATTTATATAATAGCTATTGTGCCAAAATAATTCAGTTCTATTTATTTTGTTTAGCATGTTACGGGAGTGCAGCTTTTGTCTTTATGTGCATTTTATGTGTAGGAATTGTGTGATGTACGTTTTCTGTAAATAACATGTAGTACCTTATTAAATGTAATTGCCGGAAAGGTTTAGTCGCTGGCCTTATTTGCACTTTCAGCTTCATTCCTGCATAAATACCGATGCTACCGATGCTATTAATTGGCTGATATAGCAAAATTCACTCATCGTTTGCTGGGCCTCGAAACTGCAGTTAGCCTACATCCATTGTGATATGGATAACCAATTTAAAGCCAGTCAGATCCATCCCTGCCACAGGGGATGACAGCCTTGCAGTGATGTAACACTATGGTTTTATTAGCTGGTTTGTTTGGAGTTTCTAAGGAGGCTCCCTACCCTCCCATGTAAAGACAGGAAACATTTAAATTGGAAAGGTTTAAATGAAGAAGGGACGTATTCTTAATTTTAGCTATCTATCTGACTAGCTTGTCCTGCTCGGTCACTAATGTGAGCACAACTTACCTTATCTTGGATAGGATTTTACCTCAGGTGGGCTAACTCAAGTTGAGACCTTGACTAATGCGGCACTTGAGAGGCCTCTGGCTTCCGTCTCCTCAGGGAGGACTGTCAGGTCCAGCAGCCATGAGGGAAAAGGTGATCTGGCATGTACCCTTTCCCCTCCGAGATCATTTGTGCTTGCCTGAATACTCTATGGGATGGCTGTCCTACTGCGGGGCAAGCACTGATGGTGGCCAAGCATGTGCCAAGGGAATGATGATGTTCACATGGCAAAAATCTTTCCTATTGCATTCACGCCACCTCTGCTCTGTGAAGCTGGGTGTCATAAAACTGATTACGCCTGAAATTAGAAGTTGCAACTATTATCTCATAATTAAGCTTCAGAGATGACCTCACTGATACAGTCTACGTTTCACCTCAGACACAGAGTATACTTTTCTTGGTGTTGACCAGGACTGTGTGGAGTCATTACAAACATAAAAATTTTATTTTTTTAATCTATAAAAATAATTACACCCTTTTAGTCAAAACATAAATTCTGCACCAAGGAAATGCTGACACATAGAACCACTATCTGCTCAGTACCTGCATTCTGAAAGGAAAGAATGACACAGTTAAGAAATATTCTGCAGCATGATGAAATAATTTATTTTACTTTGCTGTCTGACTAGAAGTTCAAGATGATTCAGAGGCAAACCAGCTAATAACATAGAGACAAAGTTGTGTCTTATTATTCAAGTGAGAAATATTTCTTATTTCCATTTGTACTGCTCTATGAATATACTTCATATGGCTTTTTCAGATACAGAATCTTCCCAGAAGCAAAGTGTGCAGTAGAATAAAATACAGGGACATGATTGATTCAAAAGACGTTTTTATCTTTACAATGAACTTACAACATTTGTGAGTTCATGATTTTATTTGTTCCAGATTTGTTCCTATTGTTTGGACTTTCCTTTATTTCTGTGTTAACTGGTTTATAAAGCTGCCAAGTTTCAGCTTGGCTCTGCACATAGACCGATTCTTCATCCATTTAGTATGCTTTTATCCCCTTTTATTCCTTAGAACCTCTAACTGTTTTACTTAATTGTTGCCAAACACTCTCTATCATGTAGATATATACCAGCGATACAAATAGAGGTTTTTATGGCACCTCCATATCAACAAATGAATGCAGTTTACCTACTCAATGAAACTGGTATCTGGCATTTTTTAATTTTTCAATAAAGGGTGCTGTATAAATAATGAGTGTTGCTATCTCTGTATCTAACTCATTCAAGTGGCTCAGATAGTTTCTATGGTGCTGATCACAGTCTACATACCTAGAGATTAAATGAATAAAACTACCTTCTGGCTCTGGGATCCATACTGGGCTTCTCTCGCTCCCTGTGTTGACTTTACAACAGGAAGGCAGCTGTCGATGTATTGCTCTTGCTGTATGAAGTCTAAGCGACTTGCAATAGTGTGAAGAATGAATAGGCACTCAGGAAATGCTGAAATGTCAAAACACACATACTGTCTTCACCCTGTGCTTGCAGCTGCGAGTCACAACCTGATCCTGCTTCAGTGGAGAGATGCCCCTGACCTGCTGGCTCTCGGGGCTGGCCTGTAAGCCTGGGCTGGCTCAGGTGCTGTGCCAACGCAGCCAAGCTAACGGCGGTTGGGCAGTCCCCAGAGCTGCACCGCTGATGGTCCGTACTGCTTTAGTTGTAGCACGCTGCTTGGCCTGATTTTGGCCCATACCAGCTAGCACCACATGAGAGTGTCCAGCCGTTACTTGTGGGAGCGCATGCACCAGGGACCATTGCCAGTGGGAAATACAGACAAGCCCGTCCGGCCTGCCTCTGTCCCCTCCCCGCAGTCCTCCAGCGGGTCCCAGGAGACTTCGCACCTCCATCACACCCGCTTGCATGAATAGCGTAAATGCTGCGGCACAGCCCCCTCCTTATTTCAACACTGCAGACTGAAAAAATACAAACCTGTTTAAAATAATGATTGTGCCCGAGGGTCACAGGTCGTACAATGCCGATATGGCTGGTCCGTGCTACTTGGCCTCAGGCCCCAGAGCCCCTGACCCTGTTTTATTTACGGGCAGAGTCATAGCTGTAGTTTTTAGATGCGAGGTGCCAGGGAGGCAGTGTCCGTCATCTGCTGCCAGGGACCGGTGAGACTGCAGACCCCACGGAGCTGGGATGGTGACACCTCGGGCATTTTGGAAAATGTTCTGCATTACAGGGTTCCACTACGGACACGGCTTTTTGCTAAAGCAGCAGTACAGAGCACAAACACCTCTATTTAGGGCTTCAGAGCCTAAAGAGCCAGAGGATACAGCTCCCCCACTCCCCTGGCACATTTCGCTATTGTTGCTTTGTTAGGATTTGCTGTTTTTCTCAATGACCAGGCCGGTGCTGGCCATCGCTAGACAGAGCCAGTGAACAAAGGTTAAATCCCAGGAGGCTGAATCCAACACACCAGGAGGCTGCTACTGTTTGGTAAAGGCAGGATCCAAAATATTTTCCCCAGACATCTTGTTCAAACCTGATCAGCCACAAAGACATGATAGTGTCAGATAAGAGTTCAAAACGTATTTGCACAACTCTGCAGATGGAGGGTTTGGGTCTTTTTCCTCCTAAGGAAAATGCTGTGAAGGCACACAGCCTCTGCAGACCAGGTACAGAGAGAGACAGAGACAAAAAAAATCCCTCTTTTCAAAGAGACACGGGCAAAACAACCTTTTAAGTACAAGAAGATTAAATACAATTTAGAAATCTTACAAAACAAGTTAGAGAGAAATCAAAAGGTTTAACCTGCAGGGGTACCAAAAGAGGTAATGAATTTTGCTTTAAAAAAAAAAAAAAAAGAAAAAAAAGAAATATTTTAACAAAATGTAACGGCAGAAAATTGTAAGTCTAAATTGTTAACATAGCTTCTTAGTAAGGTCAACTGCATAACATACAGTACCTTAACCTCTTCCAGCAATTTTTAAACACCACGCAGCTTAAATAGACTACTTCTGAATTCAGTGGTATTTCTTCTGGGAGCTCTGAATGCAAATCAAGAGGTAATAGTGGAAGAAAATTAAAAGATGTGCTATTCTCATTTCATTTTTTGTACTGATAATAAGGAAAGCAGCATAGAGAGTGATATGGCAAAGTGAACCTCTAACTTGAATAGCTTTTCTTTCACTGTTAATCTGAAATGCATTACACCCTGCCTTTTCAAATAATCATAATGTTCTTTACTGTAGCCTGCATTAAAGTTTGGCAGGCACAAGCAGCAGCTGTCACTAGAGGTCAAGATATTAGCAATCAAAGAAAATAATGACCAGATTAAAAAGTTATCATTAAAATTACTAAACCAGAAACTTCTATAGCAGCCTATCTTCGGAGCCTTGCCTCCAGGGCCGTAGCTGTACCCAGGGAACCCCAGCCACCCTCGGACGTCTCCCCACGGCAGTACCGTGGGGCTGGCTGGCCCTTGGCCAGGGTGATGGCACTGCTGGCCTCAGCGGCCGGAGGGGACCCTCACACCTCCGCCTCCCTCGGGAAGGGGCACTGCTGCCCCAAAACAACTCCTGCAGGACAGGGAGCTCCCCGACACAGCTGGTGGCTAAAACCTGACCTCCAGCTTCTCACCGTGGTGGAAGGCTGGGGTCAGTGTGCTACAGGAGCACCCGGCGTACGTCCTCCACGCATTTACCTGCACGCCATCCAATAACATGTAAGACTGACTCTCACTTCAGCTGCCCCGTGCACTGCTTTAGCAATAAAATACAGCTGTCATACAGCACCTGACTAAGGAAGTAACTTGTAAATTCACAAAAGAAAGTAATCCAAGCACAGTCTTGGCGGTTTATGACTCAAGTGATGGGGGACTACTGTAAAAAGGAAGATTCTTATAATTAAAAGGGAAAAAAAGAGCATGTACAGCTACCAAATCTACCATTTACATCTAACCGCTGAAGGATATTTCACAAAGGGTTCATTTTTAATAGGTTTGGCACTCAAAGGTAATTTCTGAATTCAAAATAAACTCAGAAAACTACATGAAAATGCAGAAAGAATGCATAATTACTGACGCAGATTGGAATATTTTTCTTGGAAAATCCATGTAATAAAAATGTGACACACAGGGGTACTGGTAAGAGACTGACCTTTATTTCCTGGCCCTAATCCATTTGGGTCAGAGTGACAAAAAGCAAAGCCTTTGTCAGATGGCAGGGGTCAGCCAGTCATGTTTAATTTTTTTCCTCTTTTTGCTTTCAAATGCAAATAAAGCACATTACCAATGAAAATAATGATTGTAAATGAATACCTCAATTAAAGGGAATTTACATAAAGATATATAGGATAGAGGTGATGGCAGATACTCCAACATCCTTACAGACAATAATCCATTTCTTAATCAACTTCTGTCAATAATCATAAGCTTTCTGCTCTCCATGGTTTCCTCATTATAACACCACCTCTTGTGTTTTTAAATAGTTCTTTCTTCAGATGCTGTCCGAGCCAGCAAGTGAATCCGCTAGCTGTATTTGCCGACTCTTTGTGGTTTTTCACAGGTGTACATTATTTCTGCACAGGAGTACTGTCGGCAGCATTGTGGTGTT